CCCCGGCACAGCCCCGGCACACTCCCCAGGACAGAGAGCCCCCAGGGACCCTGAGGCTCCAGCGCTCCCCCAGGACAGCCCCCGAACACGCTCCTGTCACGACCCGCGGCCACGGCACCGGGAGACCCCTGGCACCAGGGACCCCCAGCCCCCCCGACCCCCGAACCGACCCCCAACCAAACCAGGGCCCCCCCGGCCCCAAACGGGGACAGCCCCCGTGCACGTACGGGGTCAGAGGTCAGGGGTCAGGGGTCGGGGGTCGCCGCCGGCACCGGGACCCGCCGCGGGGGCGGGGCCGGGAAAAGGCGCGAACGCCCCAAATCCGGAAGCAGCGTGACCGCATGGAGGAAGTGACGTCATGAGATCACCATGGCAACCGCGGGGGGGCGGACCCCTGGGGGGCACCGGGGGCGGCAGCGGGACCCCTCAAAGCACGGGGGGGCAGGGACACGGCACCGACCCCCGAGGGGACAGGGACACGATCCCCGGGGGGGACAGGGACACGATCCCCGGGGGGGACAGGGACACGGCATCGACCCCCGGGGGGACAGGGACACGATCCCCGGGGGGGACAGGGACACGGCATCGACCCCCGGGGGGACAGGGACACGGCACCGGTCCCCGAAGGGACAGGGACACGATCCCCGGGGGGGAACAGGGACACGGCACCGACCCCCGAGGGGACAGGGACACGGCACCGATCCCTGGGGGGACAGGGACACGATCCCCGGGGGGGACAGGGACACGGCACCGATCCCCGAAGGGACAGGGACCCGGCACCGGTCCCCAGGGGGACGCCAGGCTGAGCCCGACCCCGGGACTCCCCAGTCAGAGCCCGGGAGGAGGCGAAGGGGGCCCTGGGCTGGAGCCCACGGTAGTCTGGCCGCACCCCCCGCCCCACGCTTTGGGGGACTCACGGGACACCCTCATGTGTCCCCGCACAGCCCCGCAGCGCCCCCGGCCCCCCCGTGTTGCCCCTGAGCCCCCCGGCCCCCGGTGTCCGCTGCCCGCGGGGGCGGAGGTGTGAGGCAGGAAGAGCTCTGGGAGCGGCGATGCTCTTTTCTAGGGGTTTTTGGGTTTTGGCCCCCCCGCCCCTGCAGCCCACGGCCCCGCTATAAAAGGTGTCGGGCTGTCACCTGCTGTCACCCGCTGTCACCCCCTCAGCGGCTCGACATGGCTGCCGAAAGCTCGGCCCTTCTTTTGGTGCTGGTGGCGGTCGGAGGTAACGGGAACCCTTGTGCCTCCCACGGGGGTGGGGGGGCTGGGGACACATGAGGACAGGGGGATGGCAGCCTGGATGGCTGCGCCTGGGGAGGTAGGGTCTGTGTGGGGACCTGGGGGTGGCAGGGATGGGGCTGGCATGGGGACAGGCATCCAGGGATGGGGGAGGGAGGACGAGGGGACAGGCAAGAGGGGTGCTGGGGACAAGGCCCTCATGAGGACCTGGGGGTGGCAGGAATGGGGTCCTTGTGGGAACAGGCACCTGGGAATGGCAGGAACAGGGATGATGGGGCTGGTGTCCATGGGGACAGGCACCTGGGGAAGTGGTGGAACAGCAGGTTGTGGGGACAGGCGGGAAGGGATGATGGGGATGGTGCTGAGCACCTGGGGCTGGTGGTTTAGGGTTCTGGGCACCCCCAGGGGCCTCAGGGAGCTCAGTGACAGACTCTCTGTGCTGTTCCCGTGCAGTGGCGCAGGCTGTGGCCCCCCTGCCCTGCCAGGGTGACCCCATATCGTGGTGCCAGGACATGGCCATGGCCACGCGCTGTGGCCTGGAGCGGCAGTGCCAGGACCTGCGGGACAGCCTGGCCCTGGTGAGCACCCACCCCCCACTCCTGCCAGGGCCACCCCCGGGTCCGGGTGGCCCTGAGGGTCTGCGTGTCCCCACAGGGGGACGAGGCCGACGGGGACGACGTGGGGCTGGGCCGGAGGATGAAGTGCAGCCTGTGCACCAAGGCCCTGAAGAAGATACAGACGCTGGCGGGTGACAACCCTGACGAGGTGAGGGGTGACAGGGCTGGGGGGCTGGGCCAGGGCCCATCTGGCCGCAGCCTCCTGACCCGCGTGGCCGTGGCAGGCGGCGGTGGCGGCGGCGCTCAAGAAGGGCTGCCGGTTGCTGGGCCGGCTCCTGGGCAAGCAGTGCCAGAAGCTGGTGAGCCGGTATCAGGATCAGATCAGCCAAGGGCTGCAGGATGGGGACACGCCCCGCGACATCTGCACCGCCATGGGCTTCTGCAAGGCCTGAGCGTGGTCAGTGCCTGCCCGTACCCTGATCCTGCACCCCACATCCCGATCCTGCACCCCACACCCCGATCCCTCACCCTGATCCTGCACCCCACGTCCTGATCCTGCACCCCAAATCCTGCACCCCACATCCTGATCCTGCACCCCACGTCCTGATCCTGCACCCCACGTCCTGATCCTGCACCCCAAATCCTGATCCCGCACCCTGATCCTGCACCCCATGTCCTGATCCTGCACCCCACGTCCTGATCCTGCACCCCAAATCCTGATCCTGCACCCACGTCCTGATCCTGCACCCCAAATCCTGATCCCGCACCCTGATCCTGCACCCCATGTCCCAATCCTGCACCCCACGTCCTGATCCTGCACCCCATGTCCCAATCCTGCACCCCAAATCCTGCACCCCATGTCCTGATCCTGCACCCCACGTCCTGATCCTGCACCCCAAATCCTGATCCCGCACCCTGATCCTGCACCCCACATCCTGATCCTGCACCCCACATCCTGATCCTGCACCCCACGTCCTGATCCTGCACCCCACGTCCCAATCCTGCACCCCAAATCCTGCACCCCATGTCCTGATCCTGCACCCCACGTCCTGATCCTGCACCCCAAATCCTGATCCCGCACCCTGATCCTGCACCCCATGTCCTGATCCTGCACCCCACATCCTGATCCTGCACCCCACGTCCTGATCCTGCACCCCACGTCCCAATCCTGCACCCTGTGTCCTACACCCCACATCCTGATCCTGAATCCTGTGTCCTGCACCCCATATCCCAATTCTGCACCCCACTTCTCAATGCCGCACCCTGTGTCCTGCACCCCGTGTCCTGCACCCCATGTCCTGATCCTGCACCCCATATCCCAATTCTGCACCCCATGGTTCATGGACACCCTGTGTCCTGTACCCTGTGTCCTGCACCCTATACCCTGATCCTGCACTGTGTGTCCTGCACCCCATATCCTGATCCTGATCCCACATCCCCCACCCTGAATCCCACACTTTGTACACCACATCCTGCACCCCACAGCCTGATCCCACACCCTGCACCCCACCCCTGCCTGGGGAGTGGTTGGAGGTCCTGTGCCTTCTCTGCTGCCCCTCTGTAGGATGGGAGTGAGCTAGAGCACCCCAAAATGTGTCCTGGAGCAGGGGGAAGGATGGAGGAGCTGCTTCCACTGGCCCCCAACTCACTCCCCGCTCTTTCCTGTTTCCGCAGGATGCAGCCCCAAGTACCCCACGAACACCAATGTCCCCCCAGCCCGTGATGCCCTCCAGCCCTGACACCCCCTCCCCCACAATAAAGTCCCTGCTCTGGCTATGTGTGTCACATCTGCCTGCCCCGGGGGGACTTGGTGACACGGGCATGTGGCACGTGCCTGGCCCTGGCCCAGCCCCAGCAGGGCACATGGGACACTGGAGGTGCCAGCAGTAGCGTGGGTGTCCACGCTGAGCACAGGGAATCCCTCAGTGCCAGCCAGTCTGAGCTCAAGGAATCTGCTGACTGAGAGCTGCAGCCAATCGGAGCACGAGGAATCCACCTTTGGCCATGGCCAGGGAGCTGAGCTGCTGCTGCTGCAGCAAGTGAAACCACAGGGAACCCTGCTGGCTGAGGGCTGCAGCCACTCAAATCCCGGGGAATCCTGCTGGCTGAGGGCTGCAGCCACTCAAACCCCGGGGAATCCTGCTGGCTGAGGGCTGCAGCCAATCAGAGCAGAGGGATCCCCTTCCCTCCTCCAGTGGGTCGAGGGGATCCCGGTGCCACCTGTGGATCTGGAGGCTTTCGGGGGTGGCACAGACTCCCCCAGTGTCCCCAGCCCTCCAGGGTGCCATGCAGCCCTGGGGTGACCCTCTGCTTCAAGGGAACACTGAGACCCTGTTGTAGCCCTAGACCCCTGGTTTGGCCCCACTCCCTGTGGTGTCCCAGCCCCCCCGGGTGGCCCCAGATGCCCAAGGGTGACCCCAACACCCTGAAATGTCCCTACATCCTGGGGTGCCCCTATTGCCCAGGGTGACATGGGACAGACCCCGGGGGTGGCTCCAAATATCCCAGCATGTCCCCAGGCCCCCAAGATGGCCTGTACCGTGGGGTGGCCCCACACCCAGGGCTGATCCCAACACCCTGAGTCCCAGATCATGAAATGCCCCAAACCCCCAAAGGGATCCCAACACCCTGGGGTGCTCCAAACCCTCAGGGGGACCCAAAACTGTGGGTTGCCCCCAGAGCCTTCAGGGAACCACAACATGTTGGGGGACTGCCAGATCCTTAGAGGGACCTCAACACCCTGGGGTGCCCCTGACCCCCAGAGAGGCCCAACATTCTGCCCCAAACCCTTGGTAAACTCACATCTCTGGGGTGCCCCAGACCTTTCAGGGAACCCCAACACCCTACCTTGGCCCCTGATTTTTATCCCCCCCTTATTGCTCCAAGCTAAATCGGGAAGGGTCTGAGCTGTGACACCCTGGAGCATGGAAAAGCCCTGGAGGGCATCTGTGTGCCCCTCTATTTGGGGTGGGCTGGGACCCACAGGGTTTTGGGGTGCTGCTGCTGGTGGAAGTGGGATTTAGCCCTTAGTGTGGGTCTGTGCCCAGTTTGGGGGGCCCCACTCCCCACCCTGTTGTCGGGACGTGGCTGGAGGGGATCCCCCCAAAATGCAGCCCCCAGCTCTGGTACACTCTGGTCAGCCTCTGCACCCCAGGGCTCACTAGTGGGGGGCTCCTCCACCTCAACGCCCGAGCACCCATGGAGAGCCCCTTATCTCTAAGCCAATGTCCCTGGGGAATCTCCCCCAGCAAAGGAGCTGGGTGTGTCAGAGCCCCCTCGCTGCAGCTGGGTGAGGATGTGGGGGGGTGAGGGCATGGGAAGCACCTCGGCTGCCCTGCACATGTGGGGCAGCCCCACGTGGGTCTCCCTGCCAGCACGGGGACACGAGGAGTGCTGGCCAAAGCGGCCCCAGAGAAGTCCACACATACCCCGTTTATTGGGGGGCTGGAGCCGCCTCTTTTCTGCATTTGTGTCTGCTCCCACAGCGCTCCGAGCGGGACCACCGGCCCCCCGCCGCCCCCGAGTCCAGCTCACTGCCCCATCATACAGGCCATCTTGCAGGCCACGGCCGAGATGAGGGCGGCCCCACGCCCGCTGCCCTCCTCGGACTGGATGAAAGTGATGTCGCAGCCGGGTGTCAGCTGCCGCACTGTGGCGTGGAAGTGGTCCTTGAAGCTGGGGAGTGGGAAAGCGGGGTCAGAAACGGGGTCACAAACGGGGGCTGAAGGAGGAGGATGGGAATGCCGGCGGCAGGAAGGCCCCGGGGATCCCCACCTGGGATGGAGCTTGTAGACGGAGCCGTCGACGCCGACGGTGATCTTGAGGGTGTCCTGGCTGCGGCTCTCGCGCATGCGGTTGATGACGCCCGCCAGCCCCGCCGAGCACATCTGGGCGGCGCGCGTGGACACGCTCTCGCACACCCGGCGCACGATCTCGCAGTCCGTCCGCGACGGCAGCAGCTCGAAGCCCGACAGGATGTTGTAGATCTGCTTGCGGTCATCGGAGTCACTGGGGTGGGGGCAGAGTGGGGGTCAGCGGGGAATGGTGGGGGAGAACCCATTGTGAGGCAGTTGGATGGGGTGTCAGGATGGGGAACCCCAGTTTGGTCAGTCAGAACAGGTTGGTGTGGGGTGATGGGACAGAGGGACCTGGATGTGGGCCACCCTGGTGTGGGGTGATGGGATAAGGGACTCCAATATGAGGCGGTCAGAGCAGGCTCCTATGGTATGGTGGAACAGGGGGATCCCCGTGTGGGACAGCCTGGTACAGACTGACAGCACCTGCAGCTGTGAGCACTGGCAGCACAGCCCCCCAGCGCGGTGCAGCCTGGCAGGCCGGTTTGGGTGTGCTGGCCCCAGCCTCGCACCTCTCGATCTGCGACATGAAGCGGGTCTCAAAGGTCCCGCGGGTCTTGAGCTTCTCAGAGGCCTCCCCGTTGAAGAGCAGGTTCTCATCCACCAGCTTCAGCAGCACCAGCCGCACAATCTCCCCCATGTACTTGCCCCCGATGATCTTCTCGTACCTGGGTGGGGGCACAGGTGAAGGGGTGGTGTCAGGGCCGGGATTTGGGGGGGCCACATCACGCAGCACCCCCTCTTTCCTTCCCCCCTCCTTGCTGGCTGTGTCCCTGCAGTGGGCACAGCCTGGGGCGAAGCACCTCCGTGCTGGGGGGCTGAGCCCAGAGTGGCGGGGGGTCAGGGGGGACACCCAGAGGAACTGGATCTCTCCTATTCCTTACAGTTGCTGACCGGGGTTAAGTGAGGTCTCGTCCACCACGCGGTCGTACTCCAGGAGGAACTCGTCCAGCTCCCCCGAGGCGCCGAAGGCCCCCCACTCCGTGTTCACGCACATTCGCCCCTCGTCGCCCTCGACCAGCTCCACGTTGTGCATCTCCTCCATGTAGCAGGCGTTACAGCCCGTCCCTGCCAGGAACCAGGGACAGGGCCAGTGATAGGAACAGTGACCCCCCCACCACGGCCCTCCCATCCCAACTGAGATACAGCTGGGATAGTCTTCTGGAGCAATGGGGGGGAACTGGAAAGGGTCCAGAGATGTGTCAGGATGGGGGTTGGGATCTGTGTGGGGTCATTCCTCAACCTGTGAGGGACATTCCTCAACCTGGTGATGTGGCACCCTGGTCTACAGCTACTTCAGGGCTGGCTCCAGAGGTGACAGTACATAGGAGAAAGGTTTTAGACTAAAAGAGGGAAGATTTATATGGGATATTGCAGACAAATCCTTCCCAGGGTGGCAGGTGATGTTTCTCAGAAAAGCTGTGGCTGCCCCATTTCTGGAAGTGTTCAAGGCCAGGCTGGAAGAGGTTTGGAGCAACCTGTGATAGTGGAAGGTGTCCCTGCCCATGGCAGGGAACTGGATGATCCTTAAGGCACCTTCCAACCCAAACCATTCTGTGATTTCATGAAAGCTGGAACCGAGGATGGTTGGGAACTTACCACATAGGTCCCAAATCTCTATCCCTATTCCACCCAGCATTGGGACACAATAGAATCATCAAATCATAGAACCATGGGAACAAGCTCATCTTGTTCCACTCCCTGCCATGGGCAGGGACATCTTCCACTAGACCAGGTTGCTCCAAGGATAGAAGTGAAACAGCCTCAAGTTGCACTTGGGGAGGTTTAGGTTGGGACAATTTCTTCATGGAAAGGGCTGTCTGGCCCTGGCACAGCTGCCCAGGGCAGTGGTAGAGTCCCCATTCCTGGGGGGATTTAACCAACTTGTGCATGTGGCATATGGGGGCATGAGTTAATGGTGGCCTTGGCAGTGCTGGGGGGAACAGTTGGACTTGATGACCTGAGAGGCTTTTCCAACCCAAACAATTCCATGTTTCCATTCTAGACCTCATTTCAGTGTAAAGAAATGGAACAGCTGGCCCCTGCTGCTCCATGAGCACCAGGACTCGGTGACTGAGACCATGGCTGGGGCTGTGCTCAGAGCATGTCCCCATCCTGCGGTGACAGGGATGGTCATCCTGCTCCCCATGAGCAGAGTCTGTGGGGATCCCAGCCCTGGCTGGGCCCTTGTACCCACAGTGGGGTCCCAGGGGCTCCGAGCACTGCGCTGAGGCCATCCTGGCCCCCAGGAGCTGACAAACATCCCGGTGTGTTACCCAGGTGAGGGGATGCGGAGCCCAGATGGCACGTGGCTGATGGCACCGAAGATAGCAGGGCGCTGGGAGAGGCGGGGGGTTGCTCCCTGCAAGTTCAAACTCATCCCCACCACCCTGACACCAGTCACCTGCCATGGGTGTCCACTCCCACCATGAGGTGCCACAGCCACCAGCAGCCTGGGGAAAGGGCTGTGCTGTGGGGACCAGCCCTGTTATGGTGACTACCCCCTTTCTACTCCCAAGGTGCTCCCACCACTGTGATGGGACCAGGCGATGCCATCGGGTGTCCCAACCTCCAGAGGCCTCAGCAGGGTGCCACTGCCACCCCTTTGTCATTGGTGTGCCCCTCCAAAAGGACGGGGGGAGCAGCAGGGGAGCAGGGCCATGGGATGGTGGCCCCTCCCTGGCCGTGTGTCCCTGCAGAAGGGGCGTCTTACCCACAATCATCCCAACCTCGCACCGGTGATCTTCGTAGTAGCAGGAGATCATCGTGGCCACCGTGTCGTTCACCATCGCCACCACGTCCATCTCGAAGTCCTGGGGACAGGACAGGGACCATTGGGGGCTCGCAGGGGACTGGGCTGTCCTGCAGCAGGCAGGTCTGGGGTAGAGGGTCCCCAAGGGTGAGGATGCGGGCATGTGTTGTGTGCACACGCACGGAATGGCCCTTCCTGGGGGGACACACCAGGCTCCAGCAGCCCTGCTGCAGGCACAGCTGGGCTTCAGTGAGCCCATCGCAGGGACAGCCAGGAGTGCTGGGGTCCCCCCACCGCGGTGGTCCCAGCACAGCCGGCCCTCTCACCCCTCGCCGTTTGATGGCGTCCCTCAGCAGCCCCACCACGTTGTTCCCTTCTGCGCCGGAAGCTTTGAAGCCCTTGGTCCAGTTCAGGAGGATGCCCTGGAATGGGGGTCAGACCAAAATGGGGCTGTGGGTGTAGCTGGCGCTCGGGGACCCCCGAGCCCTCATGCTGCCCAGCCACCCCCTCACCTTGTCAATGTCCTCATGCCGCACGGGGAAGGAGAAGGTGAAACCCAGGGGCAGCTTTTTGTGCTTCATCTGGTGCTTGTCCAGGAAATCAGAGATGCACTCGGAGATGTAGTCAAAGAGCTGGAAGACAGGAGGCTGAACCTTTGCCAGGGGCTGTTACCACCCTCCCACTGCACACAGAATGACACTGTCCCACCCCCACCGTGGGTTCCCCAGGCCAGGCCATCCCCTGCTTTCTGCTGACTAGAGGGATGAGGAGTGTCCCCTCCAGTGTCCTCACTGGAACATGCACGTTACAGGGACTGGGAAGAGAGAGGATGCCCTGTGTGCCCCACTCACCATCTCGGCCGTCCCAGTCATGGCGTCCTCTGGGATGGAATACATCTGGTGCTTCGTCTTCACCTTCCATTGCCCCTCCTCCCCCTCGCCCACCTTCACCAGCATCACACGGAAATTGGTGCCGCCCAGGTCCAGCGACAGGAAATCTCCCACCTCTGCAAAGCCAGGGAGGAGGGGACAAGGTGACGGGCTCAGGGTGGGCTCAGCCTCCCGCATGGAGCTCAACAGGGTCTGGGGAGGGTGCAACACAGGGGACCAGGAGCGACCCCGTACCTGAGCCCTCGGGGGTGGAGCGGACATAGGTGGGCAGCATTTTGACAGAGGCTTCCTCGTGTGTCTCCAGCTTGAGCCCTCGGTCCATCTCCTTCTGCATCCGGTACATCACCTTCTTCAGGTCCTCCTCCTTCAGCCGAAACTCTGACAGGATCTGCTCCACCTGTGTGGGACACAGCATCAGCCAGGGCCGGAGGATAGGAGGTGCAGGGGACCTGAACTGCAACAACCAACCATGTTTCCCTTCCCCTGACCCTGGTTTTCCCCATCAGCTCAGGGACACCCCAAAATGCCTTATCCCATCGCTCTATTTCCTTCAGCTGAACGTATGCACCAGGGAATCCACCAGACTGGCAGAGGCCCCATGCCCCCTCCCAGGGCTGCCTGCAAGACACCACAGTTGGCACTGGGGTCTCTGTGCTGTCCCTATCAGCAAGTTGATTTGTTTGGATGGTTGTGTAGAAGCCAGCATCATTCCAGCAGGACTTCAACCAGCGCCCCGGACATTCCATCCTGATGAATCCCAGGGCCATTCCCACCAAGGAGTGCCTCCAGCCATGCCATTGAGGAGCACAGCATCTCCCACCAAGGATGTGGGGCTCTTCCATGATGAAGATGCCGGTGTCTTCCTCGTTTCCCTGGGAGCATCCCTTTCCCTGTATCCCACCGGGAATCACAGGTACCACTTTCCACCCACCAAATTTGGGGCAGAGGGCAGGTGGGCAGGAAGATTCTCGGGAATTGCCACCTTGCCTCGCTGCCAGGTAGAGCTGCAGGGCCCACTCCAGGGAAGCACCTGGCAGGCAGGACCTGTGTTTATCCTTTCCGTAGCAACCTCGGGCTCGGTGCAGCCTCCATTAGGCAGCAGGGCTGGGGCCAGGCCCCCGGCTGTCAGATGGAGCAGGAGCCGGTGCTCACTCCAGCAGCTGCAGCCACAGCATTAGGGCTCATTAGTCACCGGGCTCCGGGCAGGCTCCAACACTCCCACTCCTGCACTCACTGGCAGAATGATGTTTGCCTTGAGGCTGCTGCTGTTTCCCGACAGGTTTTGGGGTGGGGGGCTCAGTAAAGGGTTTGGGGTATGGTTTGGAGCATCCCAACATCGGGACCACTCCTCGTAACACGGCCCCCAGTGTTGTTCCTCGACCGTCAGCCCCCCAAGTGAGGGCTCAGCCCAAACATCTCCGAGGCCCTGCAGGGCTCTTGTGGCCTCAGCCACCATCCACAGCTGGGTGGGATCCCGTCACCTCTTCCTCTATCCTGGTGCTGAACCCCTGGGCCTTAATTAGTCCTGGACCCCCAGATGCCAGGAGACAGGACCCCAGGAGATGTGGCTGCAGCACGGACCCCTCCAGGCTGGGGGACGCTGCCGGACACCCCAGAACAGGGCCAGTCACCCAAGGTAGCACCACATGATCTGGAAGGTGTTCTGCCTGGGACGACTGGAAAAACCCTGCCAGGAAAAGCATGGAGCTGGGTTCGACCATCTTGACTGGTTCATTGGTGAAGGTATTTGGCGCTAATCACTCCTGTGGCACTGCTTGGTGCGGGGACGCCGGACCTCCCCCCCCCAACAGAGGGTCCCTGTCCCAGGGCTGGCACCTGAGCGCCCAAATTTTATTTCTCCATCTCACCACCGTGTGTCCCTTCTCATCCCTTCTCTCGCCTCCAGAACAATAGGTTTGGCTCTTCCCTGGCTGGATTTGGCTCTTCCCACGTGAGGGAATCCAGCTCTCAGCTTCCCATGGAAACAGTGTGGTCCAGTGCCACCTGCACAGGGGATGGAGCTGGGAACCCCATGGCCCTGGCCACCGCAGCCAGCGACACCCAGCACACATTGTGTCCCCTCCATGTCCCCTTGGTGTCCTCCAAATGTCCCAGCTGTCAGCAGGGAAAGTCTCCACTGTCCTCACCCATGGCCCCCTGAGCTCAATCCATCTGGAGAAGAGATGGGAGCAGCTTCCCACAACCAACCGGTGTTTGACTGGGGATGAGCCATGTGCCATCCTGCTGAGTGCCTTGGTGACAACAGTCACAACCAGCCAAAGGAGGTGATGGGATCTCATCACCTCATCTCATCCCAGGGAGATGCCTCATCCCAGCAGAAGATGCCCATGGCAATGCCAGGATGGTGGGAGCATCCCAGCCCAGCAGAGCACCCCGCAAATGCTCTCAGCTCCATCATGAGCCCTCAGTGTTGTGGGGCCTGTGCTATGCTGGGGGGGTGACCTCAGGGACAGGGCCCTCCCTGGACATGTCAGGCTGCCCAGGAGCTGCTGTCCTCCCTGCCAGCCGTCCTCCCAGCTACCTCTGTTGGAACCTCGGGAGATGCCAGGAGCACCTGGCCACTTGCTCCAGGGAAGGCCAGACCCCCTTGTGAGGATCCCTACTGCCCCCCACACCCCCGGGTGCCCCCCAGCCCGTCCTTCTCTCACCCCGGGAACAGCCTCACCTTCTCCTTCCTGCTGCTCTCCATCCTGGCTCGGTGATCCAGCATGGGGGCAGCGGGCAGGGTGGGGCGGGCTGCGGGCTGAGCCGTGCCCCCCTCAGCCCCTGCGCCCCCCACCGCGGTGCCTGGCCTGGGGGAGCCCCCTGCCCCGTCCCTGCGGGCCGCTGGGCGCTGGGCAGCTCCGTCCCTCGCTCCGTGCGCGGATGCTCCACCTTTGCTGCGTTATCTCATCCGACGCCCCAGCGCAGCCCCCGCCGAGCGGGTCCCGGTCCCCCCGGGCCTCAGGCGGAGGGGCGAGGAGCGGGGCCGGGCGCCCCGGCGGGCTCAGCCCTGTCACCCCTCATCCTCTGCCGGGGGCTGCGCTCACGCTGTCCCGCTCGCTCCCTCGGTGGATCCCCGGGCGGGCGGGGGCGCGGGGGCCCAGCCCGGCGCGGTGGGGTTCCCGCAGCCCACGGGGACGCCCCGGTGCGCTGGCGAGGCGAGGCCGGGACCGTCCCCCGTCAGGCGAAGCACCCCGCCCCGGGTCACCCGTGTCCCCGTTGCCATGCCAGCGGCTCGACGGCGGCGGAGAGCACTCCAGCGGCCCGCCTGGCAACCGGCCCGCTCCCATGGAGACCGGCACACGGCGCGGGCCGAGGGGGCTGGCGGCGCTCTGTGCCCCGGCACGGCAAAGGCTCCGGGGGCGCTGCCATGGTCGCCACAAGGCACTGGGGACTGGATTTGGGGACGGGGATGCGGTGACCCCCCGTGACCCCCGCAGCCGTGTCGTCAACCCGGCGTTGGGGCAACGGGGGCCTGTGGGGGGGTCAGGAACACCCCCGGTCACGGGGGCACCCCAAAACCCTCCTGGGTCGGTCCGCGGCAGCATCCCCCGGGACACAGCGCTGGGGAGGGGCCCGGGGGGTGCGAGGGGGCTCTGGGGAAGGCAGAGGGTTCAGGGGCACCACGGCGGGGACCCCACACCGCCCGCCGTGCCCCCGCGCAGCGGACACCCGGGGGCACCGGAGGGCTCCTGAACCCCAGCGCCGGGGCCTGCCCAGAGCGGGGGTCCCGCCCCTACCGGGGAACCCGTCCATAGCGGGGTCCCGCCCGTAGAGGGTCCCGCCCATACCGGAGTCCTGCCCATAGGGGGGTCCCGCCCATAACGGGGTCCCGCCCATACCGGGTCCTGTCCATAGGGGTCCGCCCATAGGGGGGTCCCGCCCATACCGGGGGTCCCGCCCATACCGGGGTCCCGCCCATACCGGGGGTCCCGCCCATACCGGGGTCCCGCCCATATAGGGGTCCCGCCCATACCGGGGTCCTGCCCATACCGGGGTCCGCCATACGGTCCCGCCATAGGGGTCCCGCCCATACCGGGGGTCTCGCCCATACCGGGGTCCCGCCCATACCGGGGTCCTGCCCATACCGGGTCCCGCCCATACCGGGGTCCCGCCCATAGGTCCCGCCCATGGGTCCCGCCCATACCGGGGTCCCGCCCATACCGGGTCCTGTCCATAGGGGGGTCCCGCCCATAACGGGGTCCCGCCCATACCGGGTCCTGCCCAATAGGGGTCCACCTACCGGGGTCCTCCCATAGGTCCCACCTATACCGGGGTCCTGCCCATACCGGGTCCTGCCCATACGGGGTCCTGCCCATACCGGGTCCCGCCATAGGGTCCTGCCCATACCGGGGTCCTGCCCATACCGGGGTCCCGCCCATACCGGGGTCCTGTCCATACGGGGTCCCGCCCATACCGGGTCCTGCCCACAGGGGTCCCGCCCATACCGGGGTCCTGCCCATACGGGTCCTGCCCATACCGAGTCCCGCCCATAGGGGTCCCGCCCATACGGGGTCCCGCCCAGAGTCCCGCCCATACCGGGGTCTCGCCCATGGGGTCCGCCGAGGGTCCCCTGGGATCCGAGGGTCACGGGGTCCCCCTGCAGGCCCTGCGCACGGCGCCCCCGGCCGCCACAGCGCCTGCGGCCCTGCCGGCCCCACAGCGCCCCCTGCCGGCCGGCCGCGGCGCGGCGCGGATTGGCCGCCTTGCCGAGGCCCGGAGAGGGGAGGCGGGCGCTGATTGGCCGGGAACCGAGGGGGCGGGGCGATCTCGGCGCGTGCGCGGGGCGGGAGGAGCCTCCGTGGCAGCGCCCGGGGCCAGGATACTTCCGGTTTCCGAGGTTCCACTTCCGGGTCGCGCCCATCGCCCCCGTTCGGCCGCCGTCGGAGCTGAGCCGCGACCGGAGCGTCGGTACCGGGCCGGGGGGGCGGCCCGGGGGGCCGTGCGGGGCTGTGCTGGGCGGGGACTGCGCTGGACTGAGCCGTACTGGGGGAGACTGGACGGGACTGTGCCATACTGGGAGTGACTAGACTGTACTGGGCCGTACTGGGCTGTACTGGTGGGAACTGGGCTGGCTGGGTTATACTGGGGGCCAGGGCCTGGGCTGTACTGGGTTATACTGGGTGGAGTGGCTGGCGTTTTATTGAGCTGTAGTGGAGCAGGGACTGGGCTGTCCTGGGCTTTACTGGGCTGTCCTGGGCTTTTTTGGGCTTTACTGGGCTGCACTGGGCTGTACTGGGCTGCACTGGGCTTTACTGGGCTGCACTGGGCTTTACTGGGCTGCACTGGGCTGTACTGGGCTGCACTGGGTTGTACTGGGCTGCACTGGGCTGCACTGGGTTGTACTGGGCTGCACTGGGTTGTACTGGGCTGCACTGGGCTTTACTGGGCTGCACTAGGCTTTACTGGGCTGCACTGGGCTTTACTGGGTTGTACTGGGCTGCACTGGGTTGTACTGGGCTGCACTGGGCTGCACTGGGCTGCACTGGGTTGTACTGGGCTGTCCTGGGGCCTGGGTTAGGCTGAGCCAGCTGGGAGGGCTGGGCTGGGTTGGGGGTCAGGGTGTGGTTGGGCCGGGTGCGTGGTCGAGGGGCTCGGGAGAAGTTGGTTGTTCAGGCTGCATTTAAAGGGTGGAGGGCTGGGGGTTTGGCTGGGGGGTCCCAGTGCGGTGTGGGGGGGTCCCAGTGCTGGTGTGGGGGTCCCAGTGCGGTGTGTGGGGGTCCCAGTGCGGTGTGTGGGGGTCCCAGTGCGGTGGTGTGGGGTCCCAGTGCGGTGTGGGGGGTCCCAGTGCGGTCTGGGGGTCCCAGTGCGGTCTGGGGGTCCCAGTGCGGTGTGGGGGTCCCAGTGCGGTGTGGGGGTCCCAGTGCGGTCTGGGGGTCCCAGTGCGGTGTGGGGGTCCCAGTGCGGTCTGGGGGTCCCAGTGCGGTCTGGGGTCCCAGCCTCCCCGGTCCCAGCCCCCACCCCTCCCTCCCCCAGGCCCGGGAGCCGCCGCCATGAGGCTCTACAGCCTAAGTGTCCTTTACAAGGGTGACCCCAAAGTGCATTTGCTCAAAGCTGCCTACGACGTCTCCACCTTCAACTTCTTCCAGAGGTCCAGGTGGGTCCTGGGGGCTGCAGCCTCTGCAGGGGGGCTGGGGGGGGTTCCCCTGGCTGGGGCAGGACCCTGGGGGGGAGCAGAAGCCTCTGGGAGGTTTTGTGCCCCGCTGGGGCTGCAGGACCAGCAGTGCCAGGCTTTTCCTGAGGGATAACCCCCCCCCCCGGAGCTGCTCCCTGGGGAGGGCTTGGGCCTCATCTGAAGCTTTTTCCAGCCCACAAACTCCCTCTCAGGTCCTTCCTGAGGGTCCTCTTGGCAGCCAGGACCTCCTGCAGCTGTAAAACAAAGCAGGAACCAAGAGGCCCTTCCCAGTGCGCACTCCAGATGGGGAAGGAGTTGGGAAATTCTTCTGGGACCCAGATTTTCCATGCCAGAGATTTGTGGAACCTCGGGCACATTTGGTTCTGCAATTCCAAGGATAAAGGGGAGAGACTGAAGCAGGATTGTTTCAAAAAGCTCTTTTTTGGCCAAGTGGGACGTAGAGCAGGGCCAGCACCTGCTGTCAGCTCCGACCCCAAACGGCTTTGTGGACGCAGCTCTCGTTTTCCCGGATCCTGAGGAAATTCCCAGTGTGGTTTTGCTGTCAGCTGCCCCAGCAGCAGGCTACTCCCTTGCTTAAAGGAAAGTCTTGGAATTTGGGCAGGGGTTTGAGGAGGGGGATGGTCTGGCAGCTGTCCCTGGGGTTGGATGCTTGTTCTGATTCCCTGGTGGTGCTGGGAGGGGCTGTGAGAGCTCGGCCCAGGTTTGGTGTTCAAGGTGTGTTTAACTGATCTTTGGGCTAAAATGCCACATATCTGTATTTTTCTGAGGCTGTGGAGTTGGATTGAGGGGTTGGATCTGGGATGAGCAGGGCTGTGGCTCCTGGAGCTGTGGAACCTGCTGGGCAGGGCCTGGCTGTGCCGGGGCTTCACCTCTGCTGAGCGTCTGCCCAGGAATCTGGCAGGGTCAGGAGGGCCAAGTGAAGTGTTCAGTGGGCAGTTCCTCCAGGAATACTGGGAAATACAACCAGTATTCCCAGTGGAAGGGGAATATTCCTTCCTCTTTCTTGAGGAAGATACACGTGGAGCTGTCAGGCGGTTGGGCTCCGTGGTCTTAAATGTGTTTCCCAACCTAAATATGAAACCCTGGGATTCCAAATGCTGTGGCTGCCAGCAGTGGAGGGGCAGGTGCCACTCTCTTCACTCTTGTGACCAGTGACAGAACCCGAGGGAACAGCTGGAGCTGTGTCAGAGCAGGTTTGGGTTGGATCTCAGGGAAAGGTTCTTCCCCCAGAGGGTGGTTGGGCACTGAGACAGGATTCCCAGGGCAGTGGGCATGGCCCCAAGGCTGTCTGAGCTCAAGGAGCATTTGGACAGTGCTCTCAGGCACATGGTGGGATTGTTGGGGTGTCTGTGCATGGAGTTGGACGTGATGATCCTGATGGGGCCCTTCCAACTCAGCATATTCTTTGATTCTGGTGGAATAGCAAGGTGGTGGGACTGGATGGTCCTTAAGGTCCAGTCCAACCCAAAACATTCCATGATTGCCATGATGCAGTTGCTCACCAGGTGTTGACTGGACAGATCCAGGTTCAGCAGCATTTTTACTTTCTGCTAAATCCCCATAAAGCAAGTTCAGCCCAAGGACACGAGTCTGTCACTGCAGCTGGAGGGATCTGGGTGCTCCCCTGGGTTTGGGGGGGTCTGGGTAGTGGCTGGGGGTCTGCCACTCTGCAGAGATGCAGAGTCCAGCCTTTTCTCGAAGGAAAACCCTCTGCTCGGGCACAGCCCCACTACCCAGGCACTGGGGGGCTCGTGGGGAAGGGTTTCGCTCCCACAGCGTGCAGAGGAGCGGTGGCAGAGATGATCCCCCTCGGTGACCCCCCTGGTGCTGTGTCCCCAGCGTGCAGGAGTTCATGACGTTCACGAGCCAGCTGATCGCGGAGCGCTCGGCGCTGGGCAGCAGGGCCTCCGTCAAGGAGCAAGGTGAGAGCAGCCCCCGGGCCCGTGTCTGGAGCGTTCACACCACCACTGGTGTCTGGGTGAGCAGCACTGAGGGCACGAGGTGCTGAGCCAGGTGAGCACAGCCCAGCCCAGGAGAGGTTCCAGGGGGAGCTGCCACTGTCTGTGCTCTCCCCGCCTCCCTTGGGACCCCCAGAGCTGCTGGGCTGCAGCCCACCCTGCTCGCAGCCTCCCTGCAGGGTGGCTGTGCCAGCTTTACTGTGCAAGCCTGCGCTCCGTGTTCCAAATCTCACCACGTTCCAGTGTCCCTGCCCTGCTCCACGTGCCTCTGGAACCCCGGGACGCCTGGGGTGCGGCCTGGGTTTGGCTGCTGGAGCCTCTTTAATGACACCTCGGCCTTGTTACTCATTAAATGGGCTGAAGTCATGCTCGGTGCCTCACCAGTTTTTGTGGCTGCCCTGGGACATGGGTGTCGTGTCCCACACCACGTGGCCTGGCTGGGGTCACTTGCCACAGCACAACTTGGGGCTGGGCCCGAACGTCGAGCCCTTCCTGCTTTCCCAATGAAATCACGACAAATGTGGGTGCTGATGACACCTTCCAGGGTGTTCTGGGGGGAAGGGGGAGCCGTGGGGTTGTGTGGGTGGTGGTGGGTGCTGGGGAGGGCTTTGCTGACGGGGGTTTCCTCCCCAGAGTACCTGTGCCACGTGTACGTGCGGAACGACGGGCTGGCTGGAGTGGTGATCGCAGACAATGAGTACCCACAGCGGGTGTGCTTCACCTTGCTGGACAAGGTGAGGCCACGGGCCAGGAGCTGCTCAGGGACACTCCACCAGTCCTCCCACCCTGGCACACGCAGGGGTTTGGGGACGGTCACGGACGGCCACCCCGGCCTGGTGTGGGCATCGCCCTGGTCCTCGTGTGCCGAGGCTGTTGGTTCCTGTCCCTGCCCCAACTTGTTCCAAAGGAGCAGGAGGTGATCAGAGGGTTGGAGCACCTCTCATGGAATTGTGGCATTGTTTTGGTTGGAAAAGCCCTCGGAGAGCATCGAGTCCAACCATTCCCCCAGCATTGCCAAGGCCATCACTAACCCCTGTCCCCAAGTGCCACATCCACGTTTGGTTTTTTTTCACACTTCCAGGGATGGGGACTCCACCCCTGCCCTGGGCAGCTGTGCCAGGGCTGGACAACCCTTTCAATGAAGGAATTTTCCCAAAATCCAACCTGGCCCTCCCCTAGCACAGCTGGAGGCCATTTCCTCTCATCCTGTCCCTGTTCCCTGGGAGCAGAGCCCGACTCCCCCTCAGCTCCCCCCTCCTGTCAGGGATTACAGAGCCAGAAGGTCCTCCCTGAGCCTCCTTTTCTCCAGGCTGAGCCCCCCCAGCTCCCTCAGCTGCTCCAGCCCCTTCCCAGCTCCCTTCCCTTCCCTGCACACTCTCCAGCCCCTCAGTGTCTCTTGTTGAGGGCCCAGCCCTGGGCACAGCCCTGGAGGGGCCTCAGCAGGGCCAGCACAGGGACAGTCCCTGCCCTGGGGCTGTGACACCATGGCTGGGACAGCCCAGGGGCCATTGGCCTCCTACCCCCCTGGGCACCCCTGGGCTCACGTTCAGCCACTGCCACCAACACCCTCAGGTCCTTTCCCAGCTTTCCAGCCACTCTGACAGGGAGATGGGCTGAGAGGGCTGGGGGTGTTCAGCTTGGAGAAGTTTCTTGGCAGACCTTAAGCCCCTTCCAGTCTTAAAGGGGCTCCAAGAGAGCTGGAGAGGGACTTTGAACAAGGGCCTGGAGGGACAGGTCAAGGGGGAACGGCTTCAGGCTGACACAAGGCAGGGTTAGAGGGGAAAGAATTCTTCCCTGTGAGGGTGGGCAGGCCCTGGCACAGGTTGCCCAAGAAGCTGTGGCTGCCCCATCCCTGGAAGTGTTCAAGGCCAAGTTGGAGGGGGTTTGGAGCAAGCTGGTCTGGTGGCAGGTGTCCCTGCCCATGGCAGAGGGTGGGACTAGATGAGCTTTCCTTCCCTAAAATTTCCTATTTCAATGAGCAAACCCCTCCAGCCCGTGTGGCCCCACAGGTGCAGCTCCTGGGCAGTAACTGCTGTTTCCTCACCTGGCAGGTGCTGGATGAGTTCTCCAGGCAGGTCAGCAAGATGGACTGGCCCTCGGGGTCCCCTGCCACCATCAGCTACTCTGCCTTGGATGGATACCTCAGCAAATACCAGGTACAGACCCTGAGACCCCTCCAGGCAGTGGGAGAGAGGGTTCCTGTGTTCCCTGCAGCCCTGGCGGTGGGAGGTGGGTGACACCTGGCACGTGTTGAGACCCCAGTGCTGTGGGGCTGTGCCCAGGGAACCCCAGTGTCCCCAAGGCAGTGCCAGTGCCATGTTGTTCTTCCCCAGAACCCCCGAGACGCCGACCCGATGACCCGAGTGCAGGCGGAGCTGGACGAGACCAAAATCATCCTGGTGAGGCCATGGGGCCGCAGTTGGATGGTCCTGCTGGCACAACCAGTGGGCCCTGGGGACACACATTGTGGGGCAGGGGTAGGGTGGCCCCAGGCCATTCCCTGGAGACCTCCTTGATGTGGGAGCTTCCTTGCCTCTTCCCCTTTTTCCCTTCCCCCACCTTTTTTCCCCTTCCCTCTCCCCTTTTACCCTTGCTCCCCACTTTTCCCTAACCCCTCTCCTTGCTCCTCTTGGGCTTTTCCCAGCTGGCCCAACACAAGCACAGGGGCTCTGCCCCCTCTCTCCAAATGCCCCTCCCCTCCCTGCCTGGTGGCCCTGTTGGGGCTCTGCTGCTCCTGCCCCCAGCAGTGTTCCCATGTCCCTCAGGGCTGCAGAGCTGGGGGGTGCTGTGGGAAGGTGGGATGGGGACAAGGTGGCACCTCCTGGGTGGGGGAGGCAGTGCTGGGACTCAGCACCCCTTTCTCTGTCAGCACAACACTATGGAGTCACTGCTGGAGCGAGGGGAGAAGCTGGATGACCTGGTCTCCAAATCGGAGGTGCTCGGAGCACAGTCCAAAGCCTTCTACAAAACGGTGGGTGTGGGGGTCACCCCCTCCCTGAGGAGCCAGGGGGTCTGGGGATCCATCGATGAACCCTGAGGGGGTCACTCCCTCCCTGAGGAGCTGGGCAGGGCTGGGAGCTCATAGATGAACCCCGAGGGAGTCACCTCCTGCCTAAGGAGCTGGGGGTGGGTGGAGTGTCATCCCAGAGGTCACCCCCTGGATGAACCCAGGGGCATGGCGATGGGTGCCAAGCAGGGCAGGCTTTGATCCTGGAGGGAGCCCAGGTGCCCCAGTTCTGGCTGGCAAAGCCCCCAGCCCCTCACTGGGGCCATCCCACACTCTGGTGGGAGCAGGGGGATGCCCCAGTTCCGAGTGCCAACTGTGGCCAAAGGGAGGGATGAGGGGTCCATTCCTTGCTGTGAGCCTTTGGCCTCGTGGCCGGGACCCTGCCGTGCCAGCCTCCCCCGTCAGGAGGAGAGCTGTGTGGGACCCCCAGTGGGTGGTCCTGGGGCCCCCAGACCCTCGGGGAGCCATGGCAGGCTTTACAGAAGGTTTTCCTTCTCTTTCCAGGCCCGAAAGCAGAATTCCTGCTGTGAAATCATGTGACGCGGAGCCCGGGGTCTCCAGCTCCGGACCACCACCCCTCCGTCCCCCTCCGCAGCCCCCCCCAGGGGGTTCCTGGGGCTGGGCCGGGGCTCCTCAGCCCCTTGGGCTGATGTGACTGTTGTCCACCTTGAGGGGACGCCGAAGCTGGCACCGGGCCGGCACTGCAGGGGGGTCTGCACCAGAGCCCCCCTGCTCTCGCTGTTCCTGGGGGAGGCTCGGACCATGGGCTGCCAGGCCATGCGACCCCTTGCCTTCACAGCCCCTCCACGGGGAGCTGCGAGGGGCCCCCCACTGCTGTCCCAAGGGGCTGGTGGGGCAGGAGCAGCCCACCACCACCATCCCAAGGGCTGGAGGGCTTTTATGTGTTTTGTGTCCAAAGGGTGAGCTGAGGGGTGGGTGAAGGTGGGGGAGGGGGAGGGAAAAAGAAGAGGCTCCTTGGGTGGGGGAGTGCTTGCTGCATTCCTGGGCAGCTTCTTCCAGAGCCACGTCCCTGTGCCTGGGGGGGAGCTCACCAGCCTTCCCTGCACCTCAGAGTCCCCTCTCCTGCTCCCATCAGCTGGGGGGGGTCTCAGCGCCTGCTGGAGGCCCAACAGCCCTCCCTGCCTCCCCTTCCTCCTCCTTGGGAAGGGAAAAGCTTGGGCTTGAGCTGTACGGGCGCAGTGATCGGGTGGTTTCCACGCCCCAGCTGCACCGGCCAGGGGGATAAAGTTGTCTTTGGCAGTTGTGGCCTATTCCCCCTCTCTGTGCGGCGTCCCAGCGGGACAGACACCTGGGCAACACTCTCTGGGCACCCCGGCAGGGATGGGTGCACTTGGCCTCCTCCCTGCACCTCTTTCTTTAACGATCATTGGTTTTTCCTCATAATTTATTTGCAGTTTTCCCGAGACAAAAACGAAATCAAGAGTCATCTTTTACACTTACAAGGCTCAGAAAGAAAAGACAAAGGGGTTTTTTGGGGGTTTGGGGGATATGCTGGGGAGGGGGTGGGGGAGACAGAAAAAGAATGAGAGAAAAGGGGAGGAAAGAGAAAAATTTGGCAACGATCCACCAGCATTCATGGGACAGGAACAGCTCAGCTCAGCTCCTCGACATACAGCGTTAGCGCCCGAGGGTTGCTCCCGCGCAAAGGGCATGCAGAGAAATCATCAGAATAATTAAAAAATAATTAGTATCCCCCGCCCCTCCCACCCCCTCCCCGCCCCAGCCAATACCAGCCCCCAGCACGAGAGGGGCCACCTGGGGAATCTCGTGGGGAGCACCAGAAGGGGGGTGATGCATCCCCAGGGATGGGGTTGTGGTGACGGGGTGCCCCCAGAGTGCTGGCTGGGGGTGTGTGGGGGGTGTGTGCGATGTGCTGCCGGTGCCCCTGTGCTGGGGGGGGGCCCCGGCGGAGCAGCCTGTGCCCCTTTAAGAGACCCGTTCTCTTAGTCTAAAGTGCTTTCGATGCTGCGTCAGTGCTGGCTGGATCACCCCGAGCCCCCCGCCCTGAACCCCAACACCCCCTGGCTGCCCCCAAGCCCCTGCCAAAACCTGCCATTACCAGGAGCTGGACACGGGGGGCTGGGGAGGGCAACCAGCGGGATGGGGACGGGGGTGTGACCGAGAGACCCTCCCACAGCCACCCACGTGTTCCCTGCGCAGCAGTGCCTGGGATCAGCCTCGGGCCCCCAGGGGCAGGGCTGGACTGGGGGGGTGGGGAGAGTCTGTGTGTGTCCCCCCTCGCCTCACTCACCCCCCTGGCAGCCCCCGTGGCTGGGGACCCCCGCGGGAATTCAAAAATAAAGAGCTCTCTCTATGTACAGGGGCCGGGGCAGGACAGAGCAAAGCGGAGCCCAAAGAACAACATCCACCACCAGCAACAGCGACACGCCACAAGCACAGCCAGGAGGGGGGCCGAGACCCCCCCTGCCCCCCAGGAGAGACGGGCAGAGAGGGGGGGCTTAGCCCCCCAGCGCCCCGCCTGTGGCCGAGCGGCTGGGTTGGGTTTGGGGGTGTGGGTGGGGTTGGGATTGGGGTGGGTTTTCCCCCTTTTTTTTTTTTGATTTTTTTTCGTTGTCTTCCTCGTTTCGTTTTTTTTTTTTTTTTTGTCTTTTTGTTTTCTGCAAACACAGGCACTGGAGGGGGAGGAGCAGGGGCCAGGGCGGGGGGGACAGGCATGCGGACGCGTGCTTTGGGGGGCCGCAGCTCCGGCTGCCGCCTCGGCTCCCATCGCCGTCTCCGTGGGGCTGGAACCAGGACAGCCACGGCGAACTCTGCGGGGACAGCCTGGTGAGCCGCAGCCGGGGCTCCCCGCTGCCCTCCGCCCTGATCCCGCCCTCACCTTCACTGCAGCGGGGCGACAGGGGCCCCCGAGCCATGGAAGTGGACGTTCTGCCACTTGCCCTCGCGGCGGTGCCACACGCGGGTCTCCTCGGACTGGCTGGTGCGGGGCCGGCCCTGCGCGTCGATGTACTGGGTGAGGCGGATGTAGGCGATGCAGGCCGCGTCCTCACCGATGACGTGCACGTGCGGGTTCAGGATGGTCGTGTGGATCGGCTTGTTGTTCTTGGAGAGCACTGCAGGGGGGCCAAGGTCAGCGGGGCAGGGCACAGGCAGGGGGGGGCGCGTAGATGGGGCAGCCCGCGGGAGAGGGAAGGGGCAGGGGTGGTGGCGGTGCAGGCGGAGGGATGGCCCAGCAGGGTATGGTGGGGACAGGGTGGGCAGGCAGGCAGTGGGCAAGAGTGAGGAAACAGGCAAGGGCCAGTGAAGTAGACAGGCAAGGAGCCAGCACGGACAGGGACGGGCTGGATACGGAGAGGGCGGGCAGGGCAGGCAGGATGGGCAGGGCACGGGCGGAGCACAGGCAGGGCAGGTGGCACTGGTGGGTCGACCACTCACAGTTCTCGAAGTAGAAGCGGTGGAAGTCCATCCCTTCCACCAGGTTGCCCAGCGCCTCGGGCTCAAAGGAGGTAAGCCCCGGGTCGCAGATCTTCCTGCAGGGAGCAGATGAGAGCGGCCCGGCACTGCCCCACCAGGCCCCACCCCACCAGGCCCCGGCCCCACCTGGCCCGGCCCCACCAGGCCTGCCCCACTCACGCGTAGGCCTCGAAGTCCCCGTTGTTGACGGCCTCGATGAGCTGCTCCGTGATCTTGATGATCTCCTGCTTGCGGGCTGGGGGCACGTCACTGTCACTGCCACTGCCCCCGCCCCGCGGGGACACCGTGGGGGGCGGTGGACGGGATGTTGGGATGGACGTGGGACATAGAGGGGAGGCATGGGGACAGACACGGGGACAGACAGACCTTGGGAGCAGACAAACCTTGGAGACAGACAGACAGACCATGGGGACGGACCATGGGGACAGACACAGGGACCATGAGGACAGACAGACAGCCCTTGGGGACAGAAGGACCTTGGGGACAGACAGGGACCACTGTGCTCCCAAGGCCCCCACAGCTCTGCCACAGGAGTATCCACATGATCCTCTCAGCACGTCTCAGTGCTACACCAGTGCCACTCCAGCATGTCCCAGTACCCTCCCAGCATGCTCAAGCATCCCAGTGCCCACTCAGCATTTCGCAGGAGTTCCTAGTGCACCCCAGTGTTATCCCTGCAAGTCCCAGTACATCCCAGTGCCATTCTAGCACAACCCAATACAGCCAGTTCTCTACCAGTGTCTCCCAGTGCTATCCCACTGTGTCTCAGTGCCATTCCAGTGCATCCCAGTATCATCCCAGTTCCATGCAAGTGCATCCCAACACATCCTAGTCCTACTGCATCCCTAATCCTATTGCATCCCAGAGTATGCCAGTGCATTCCAGAGCTACTCCAGTGCCCTCTGATACATCCCAGTGCCATCCTATCCCCTCCCAGTGCCTCCCAATACATCCCAGTTCCATCCCGGTGCAATCCTACTGCATTACAGTGCCATTCCACTACATCTCAGTACCATTCCAGGACATCCAATACACCTCACTTTATACCAGTACATCTCAGAGCCATCCCAGCGCATTTCAATGCAAACCAGTACCAACCTACTGCGTCCCAGTGCCCTTCCAGCATATTCCAGTTCAGCCCAGTTCCATCCCAATGCATCCCAGCATCATGCTGTTGAATTCCAGTGTGTCCCAGTGCAATCCCAGTATGTTCCAGTATCATTCCAGTGTAGCCTGCTCCACTACATTCCAATGCCTCATTTCATCCTGACGCCACCAGTCATCCCAGTTTAATCCTAGTGCATCCCAGTGCCACTCCAGTGCATTTTAACCCAGCCCACTTCCATCCCAGTATGTTCTTGCACTATTCCAGGTCATATCAGTACACTCCCGTTTGCCCTGGTGCACCCCAGTAACATCCCACTGTATCTCTGTGCCAATCTCCTGTGTCCCAGTATCATTCCAGTGCAACCCAATACACCCCAATTCCATTCCAGTGCATTGCAGTACCATTCTGCTGCTCCCCTGCAATCCCAGTACCATTCTAGTGCATTCCAGTACACCCCAGTTCTATCCAGTGCATCCCACTGCCACTCCAGTGCATCTCAATTAATCTTAGTACCATCCCACTGTATCCCAATGCACCCCAGTTCATTCCTGTGTCACCCTAATGTTCCAGTGTCATTCAGATGCATCTCAGTGCCACTCCACTATATCCCAGTTTGTCCCAGGGCAGATGTCACCTCCTAGTGCATCCAGGTGCCACTCCAGTGCATTCCAACACAGCCCATTTCTGTCCCAGTAAGTCCCAGTACTACTCCAGAGCATATCGGTACACTCAGTGCACTCCAGTTTATCCCAGTGACATCCCACTACATTTCAGTGTCACATGGAGCTCGTTAACCCTTAACTAGGCAATCCATCTACGTCCTAAGGACCTCGCTGCCACCGTCCAAGCTTGCTTGGCCCCAGCAGATGAACCTTAGGATTAAAGGGTGGCCTCTGTTCCGCGCACACTGTGTCTCACCTAAAAAAATCCAATGCGCAAGCTGGAAGGTGTAAAGACCTTCCCCGGATCTTCGCTCGCGAAGACTGGCCACTCTACTGTGTCTAAGTGCTATTCCAGTGCATCCCAGTACATCCCAATACAGACTGGTTTTATCCAGGGCACCTCTTGGTACCATCCTAGCATGTCCCGGCATCATCCCAGTGCATCCCACTGCCACCTCAGTGCATGTCAGTACCACACTGGTGTATGCCAATCCACCCCAATATCACCCCAGTGCAAGTCTGTCCATCCCAGTGCCTTCTCAAATGAATCCCAGTGACATTCCAGTACACCCTAGTGCATCCCAGTACTACCCCATTCCATCTCAGTGCAACTTAATGCACCTCAGTGCCATCCCAGGCCCATTCCAGAGCATCCCAGTCTGGCCCTACGTGCTTGTAGTGCATCCCAATCCATCCCAGCGCCATCCCACTGCACCCCAATGCATCCCAGTGTCCATCCTTGTGCCATTACAGCATGTCCCAATCTATCCCATTTCCATCTCAGTGCACCCCAATGCATCCTAGTACCACCCCAGTGCATCCCAGCATGCTCCCAGTGCATCCCAGTGATATCCCAATGCACCCTGGAGGCATCCGAGCTCCATCCCAGTGCATCCTGGTGCCATCTCAGTGCACCTCAATGCATCCTGGTGTCATCCCAGCTCTGTCCTAGTGCACCCCAAATCCATCCCAGTGCATTCCAGCTGTCTCCCAGTGCATCCCAGTGGTGTCCCAGTGCAACCCAATTAATTCTTTTGCCATCCCTGTGCCATTCCAGGGCAACCTAGTGCCATCCCAGTGCATCCTGGTGCCGTCCCAGATCCCTCCCAGTGCATTCCAGTGCTGCCCCAGTGCATCACAGTGGGATCCCAGTGCACCAACGGTATCTTGGTGCCATGCCAGTTCCATCCCAGTTCATCCCAGTGCAACTCAATGCATCTTAGTGCCACTCCAATGCATCCTGATGCCATCCCAGTGCATTCCAGTGCCATCCCAGTGCATCCAAGCATGGTCGCAGTGTATCTCAGCGTCATTCCAATGCACCCCAAATGCATCCTTTGCCAACCTAGCTCCACCCCAATGCATCCCAGTGAACCAAAGGCACACTGGTGCTATCCCAGTTCCATTCCAGTGCACCCCAATGCATCCTAGTGCCATCCCAGTGCATCCCAGTTCCATCCCAGTGCATTCCAGCACACTTCCAGTGCACTGCGATGCATCCTAGTGCTAACTCAAGTGCATTCCAGAACTGTTTGAGTGCATCCCAGTGCCATCCCAGGGCATCCTGGTGCCATCCCGGTTCCTCCCAGTACCATTCCAGTGCACCCCAATGCAATACTGGTGCCATTCTAGCACCACCCCAGTGCATTCCAAGACACTCCCAGTGCATCCCAGTGCCATTCCAGTGCAACTCAATGCATCCTAGCACCCCAGTGCATCCCGTCTCCCTCCCAGTGCATCCCGGTGCATCCCCACCGCCCCCAGCGCCCGTCACCTTTGGTGTCCTCATCCTCGATGGTGGTGTTGGTGCTGTCGGATGACTCCTGCCCGCGGGACGGCGGCGGTGGGGGGGAGACACAAACAGGGGGGTCAGACCTGGCCTTGGGGGGACGGGGAGGGGGGACGAGCCCAGCTGGGGCTTCGCGGGACCCCAACAATGGCAGACACCGTGGGGGGACCCCTCTGTCACCGCGCCCCGTGTGCACTCCTCATCCACGTCACCCCCCGCCCCGTGCCATGGCTGATGCTGGGGGAGGATGGAGGCGGAAAGCGGGGACCCCCAGCCCTGGGGACGGCGGGGGCAGCGATACCTTGATGCCGTCTGCAGGGTTATGAATTACAGTAGTTTGAGGCTCCTGCGGGAGAAGGGGGAGAGACAGAGGCGGGGGGGAAGCAAGAGCCCAGAGGGGGAACAACGAGGGAGGACGACGAAGCGAGCAGCACGTGGACAGGGGCGAGGAGAGACCCAGACCAGATTTGGGAAGGGCAGAGGGGGGAAGAGAAGCAGAGAGTCATTAGTCCAGCAAAGCCAAATGGTTTAATTCACAGACGTGGAAAGGGGAGAAAAGGGGAGAAGGGGGGGCAGAGAGGTGGGGAAAGACGCAGTGAGAGGCCGAGGGGATGGGCTGGGCTGGGGGGCAGCTCCGTGCCCATGTCCTGCATCCCGGTGCCCAGGGGCTGCACTCACCATGCATCTGAGACTCTCACTGCCCGCACCCTGAGCACCCCCGTGCCTGCATCACAACCATCCTGCTGCCTGCATCCCTGAGCATCCCTCAGCTTGCATCTAGACCATCCCTGTGCCTGCATCCCAACCATACCACTGCATGCATCCCAAGCATTCCTCAGGTTTCATCTTGACCATCCCGCAGCCAGCATCCCAAACATCCATCATCCCTATCATCCCACTGCCTGCAACTCACCCTGAGTGGGGTGTGCATCCCTTTCCCAGTATCTAGCACTCACTGACCAGCTGGACACCCCTTCACCGTTGTCAAGCACTCTGTGCCAGCTGGGCTTTGCCTTGCACGTATCCTGCCTTTGTAGTACCATCCCTCCACCCTTATGCTGCGCTCTCCGTGACACCCAGGTCACCATGGGCACCCCTGTGCCCCCATCCTGCACTCACCTTGCTGTTGGCATCACCAGAGCACCCCCGCATCCTGCACCTGCTGCTCCAGATGTGCCCCCCTTTCCCTCCGTCCTGCACTCCCTGTGCCAGCTGGGCAGCCCTGTGCCCAGATCCTGCACTTACCTCACCCACAGGCTCACGGTCAGCACCCCCGTCCCTGTGCCTGGACCCTGTACCCACCTTGCCACCCGCACAAGCGGAGCATCCACGGCCATACCCTTGGCCCACCTCGTCACTGAGTCACTGGGATCCTTCTGCCCATGTCCTGCATGCAGCTGTCCCCATTACGGGCGTCTGTGCCTGTACTCTGCACCCACCTTGTCCCCAGGGTGGAGCATCCACATGCCTGTGCCCTGAACCCCTCTTGCTGTCCCCATGGCAGGAGTGCCTCTGCACCTGTTTCCTGCACCTACCTTGTCCCCATGGTGGAGCACCCATGTGACCGTGTCCTGCACCCATGTCACTGTCCCCTGGGGAGGACACGGAGCTGTCCATGTGCCCGCACCCTTCACCCACCTTGTCCGTGCAGCGGGGTCACCCCGTGCCCATGTCCTGCACACCCCTCTCCGTCCTCGGGACACCTCCCTCCCCAGCGCCCCCGGGAACAGCTGGGCAGGGGGCGCGCATGGTGATGGATGGGATGGGCTGGTGGGATGGATCCAGTAGGATGGGGAGTCCGGGGGGGTGCAGCGTGGGGGGCACCTACCAAGGCGGCAGGTGGGAGGGTCCCCTTGGGGCTGGTGACACCGGCACTGCCTTTGGTGCTGTTGGTCTGGGGCTGGAGAGGAGAAATAGGGGGGGCTCAGTGCCATGGGGGGAGCAGCCCACCCCAGCCCCCCCGCTGGCCCCTCACCTTCACGCCATCCGCCTTCTTGTTCAGTAAGCTCTTAGCTGCTGCGGGGGGAGAGAGTGTCAGTGCTGCCCCCCTGGGACAAGGGACACCTTTGTCCCCCCAAACCCAGACCCTTCCGGCCATCCAACCTGATCCCACCCTGGGTGCTGGCAGCACTTGCCACCCCCGTGTTGGGGAGGGGGGGGACATGCTAGGACGAGGGTGTCCCCATCCTGGGGGTGTTCCCATCCTGGGGGGAGTCCCCATGCTGGGAGGGGTGTCCCCAACCTCAGGGAGGTCCCCATCCTGGGCGAAGGGAGTGTCCCCATTCAGGGAGGGGTGCCCCCTACCTTGGGGGAGTCCCCATGCTGGGAGGGGTGTCCCCAACCTCAGAGAGGTCCCCATCCTGGGGGAAGGGAGTGTCCCCATTCAGGGAGGGGTGTCCCCTACCTTGGGGGGTTTTCCCTATCCTGGTGGGTGACCCCCTCCTAAGGGAAGGTTCCCAAACTCCAGGGGGGTCCCCAACTATGGGGGGGGGAGGAAAGTTGTCCCCATCATGGGAGGGGTGTCCTCAACCTCTGGGGATCTCCATCCAGGTGCAATGTCCCCATCCTAGGGGGGGGTCCCCAAACTTGGTGGGTCCCTAGACTGGAGGAAGGGGGTGTCCCCAACATGGGGAGGGTCCCCATCCTGGTGGCCCCCGTGGGGGGGTGCAGGACTGGCTTACCTTAGAGAAATGCAGAGAGGAAAGCGAGAGAGAGGAGGGGGAGGAGGGCAAGAGAGAAATGGGGGAAAAGGAGGAAAAGGGGAAAAACATAAAAAAAAGAATATAAAAAAAGATGAGTTGAGTTCGGGGTGTGTGGGGGGAACACAGCCACCTGTGCCCCCCCATGTCTCCCTGGAGGGGGACAAGGACGGGCGCAGGGATGAGCATCTGTCACTGCTACCACGATCTCTGGCCATGGTCTGGTTGGGGAGGCCGGGGACATGGGCGCCAAAAGTGGCTATGAGGGGGTGTGGAGCATCACCTTGAGTATCCTCGTAGCTCCTCCAAGCTTGGGGACCCCCCCGGTTGTCTCACAGGTTAGAGGGGGCTGTGCGGTGACAAGTCCAGTGACAGCGGGGTGGCACCAATCAGAACCCAAGGGGGGAGCATATGAGGGGAGGAGGGGACACCCCATCCCTCCCCTCATGGACCTGTGTCCCCCCAGGGGTCCCTGGCAGGGTGTCCCCAAGGGTCCTGGTCCCTCCTCTGAAAGCAGGCGGGCGCTGAGAGGTGGGGTTTTAAACCAGAGCCAAACTGGGGGGGGCCAGAGGGGACCCCTGGCAGGGGGGCCAGAGGTAGCCCTTCAGGGGAGTGTGGTTTAAGACCCGCCGAGTGTTTCACGGTGCCACAAACACTGGCTGCAGCTCTCGAAGCTGGGGTGGGGGGTGGCCACATGCTGGGGGAGTCACATGCGGGGGGGAGCCGGCACATGCGAGTGGGGGACATGCAGGGTGGGGACACAGGGGGACATGGGACATGCAGCCAGTTTGCCCCCCTCCATGCACTGGTGTGCCCCCACTGTGTGCATAGGGGGAGCAGTGCCATGGGGTGGAAGCAGTGGCGGGGGGGATACCCTAAAATTATCCCCCTGCCCCCAACTCCCTGTTGCTGGCCCAGGTGGGGACCCTGGAGATGCCACCGCAGCATGTGCTCCTTCAGGGACCACTGGCCAGGGCACAAGAACCCAGTAGACCCCTCCATGAGATGGGAGCTGGGGCAGACACCCACCCCGGGGCCAGTTTGGGGCATCAGCAGGGGGGACAGTAGCATTTCACAGTGGAGAGGGGAGAGGCTGTGAGGTTGAGGGGGGCAGTGCAGGGGGGCCATGCATGCGCTCCGATTTCCGAGGAGGGCACCCGAAACCTGTTGGGGAGGGGGAGGCAGGGAAAAGGATGGTTGGGAGAAGAGGGGGACGTGGGGATGAAGGATCTGGGGACACACAGAGACCAAGCAGGGCCAGGGGGGCCGGGGGGGCCCTTTGCGGATGCGTCTACCTTGTTCCACCAGCCCCAGGGGGGCCCCGGCGGCGGCCGCCGACATGGTCGGAGGAGCGGTGGTCTGTCTGCCCACTGCGGGCCACGAGAGAGAGAGAGAGGGAGCAGAGCTCCTGTTAGGGGGCTGGGGGGGCTGCAGCTGGGACCCCCAACTTCCACCCCCCCAATAACAACTCTTGGGGTGCCCATCACCCTGGCCTCAGGCCTGGAGTGGCTGGGGATGCTCCGTCCCCCTCCCCGTGTCGCCCCCCCACCAGCCACCGGAGTGGGGGGGGACACACGGGGACCGGGCACTACCTGCTGCTGCGTGTGTGGGGCAGGGGGGGCCAGGTCCTGCCCCCACCTTGGCTACCACACGCCCCGTCCTTGCCGATGGGGAAAAAATGGGGGGGTTAAGGGGGGGAAGGGGAGAAAGAGAGAAAGACAGCGACAGAGAGAGGGGGGCACCAGCCTGGGGGGGAGCTGTGGGCAGGGGTGCTGTGGCCCCTGGCCCCCCCCGGCCAGCAGGTGCCCCCCCTTACCTGAGAAGTTCCTGGTGGCCAACATAGTGGTGAGGATGGCGCCCTGTGGGAAGGGGCACAGTGAGGGGAGGGGGCATGGGGGTGAGACAGGGCAGGATGGGGTCCTGGGAGCAGGGAGTTGGACAGGCAGAGTGGAGCGGGGGGGGGAAGTGGGGTGATGGCATGTGGGGTCCCAGATCAGGGGGGATGGGATGGGGGGTGCAGTGTGGGGCCCATGGGACTGAGAAGTGTGAGAGGGGGCTGCAGGAGGGGGCAGGATGGAGCCATGGGACTGGGCAGTGGGATGGAGGGTGCAGGACAAGGGGGCAGCACGAGGAGGGGTAGGCTAGAATCATGGCATGGGGACACGTACTGGGCAGGGGCAGGATGGGACCATGCCACACTGGGTGTCACTGGGATGGGACCACAGCCCATGGCAGAGCAGTGGGCACGGCCAGGATATAGAGCTGATCCCACAGTGGACAGGGCAGGGCCCCGCAGTGGGTAGGGTCTCGCAGTGGGCAGGGCAGAGGTCCCACAGCAGGCTGGGCAGGGTCCCACAGCAGAGCCCCACGGAGAGGCAGGGTGGTGCCAGGGGGACAAGCGCCATCCCCAGCCCACACCTCACCCCCTCACCTTGAGCTTCCTCCGGGCGTTGAACTTTTTCAGGCACTCCACTGTTTCCTGCCTGTGCATCATCGAGGCCACGGTGGAGCGTTGCTGTGGGGAACAGCAGGGTCAGCACCAGGTGGTGGCGGCCACTGGGCCTGAGGGACACGGTGGGGGACACGTGACACTTACGCAGACCCACGGGTGCTTGAGGGCCTCGTGAGCTGTGATGCGCTTGGCGGGGTTGATGGTCAGCATCTGGTTGATGAGGTTTTTTGCTTCAGGGGTGACCGTGTCCCACTCGGGCGAAGGGAACTGGTGGGAAACAGGGACACAGGGGGTTGACAGCTCTGGAGGGGCAGCCCCATGGCAGTCATGTTCCTCTGCGTCCACACGTCCCCAGCCAGCCACCAAAGGTGTGGCCCAAAGCCATTTTCCCAGCTCCTGCCTGCTGGGATTAGCTGTGGCATCCCTCGGTAGGCTCTGGAGTTAACGGGGGCTGTCACAGCATGGCGGGTCCTGGTACTGGGAACTTACGTCATAGGCCCCGGCCTTGATCTGTTGGTAGAGTTTGTGCTGGTCCTCGTCCCAGAACGGTGGGTAGCCCACCAGCAGGATGTACAGGATGACCCCTGGGCCAGGGAGAGCAGGGTCAGGGGGCTGCAGGAACCCCCAGCCACCCCCTGGCCCTGTGGTGTCCCTATGATCCCAGCATGGCCTGTCCCTGTGCTGCCAGGATGGCACCAGCCAGGAGAGTGCGGCACAGCTGGGGCACAGGGCACAGGATGGCCATGGGATGGGGACTGGGACAGAGCTGACAGGAACTGGGATGGGACCAGCATAGAACTGGGATGGGAAACAGGGTGAGACTGGGATGGGAATGGGATGAGACTAGAATGGATCCAGGAAGGGACCAGAATGGGACTGTGGTGGAATCACAACGAGACCAGGCAGAGATTGGGCAGGGATGGGGCAGGGGTTAGGATGGGATGGGGCAGGGACTGGGCAGGGACTGGGACAGGGACGGGCTCTTACCGCATGCCCAGATGTCCACAGGTTTGCCGTAGGCCTCTTTGCGCAGGACCTCGGGGGACAGGTAGCCGGGCGTGCCTGCGAATCCTGCCATGGGCACAGAGAGACGGGTGAGCCAGGGCGGGCACAGGGCAGGACACGGTGGGCACAAGACTGGGACACGGGCATGGGGCAGGGATGTGCTGGGCATGGGAGGATGTGGTCGGCACGGGGCAGGATGCTGTGGGCACACAGACATGGCAGGTATGTGCCAGGGCCGTGGTGGTGTCCTGGTTTCAGCCATGGTAGAGTAATTTCTTCTCAGGAGCTGTCACAGTGCTGTGTCTTGTGGGCACGGCAAAATGCAGTGGCAACACGGCAGGGACTCAGTGGACACGGGACAGGGACAGGGACAGGGCAGGGGTGGGCAGAGACATGGTGGCCAAGGAAGGGACATGGCGGGCACAGGGAAGGGACACGGTGAGCAGGACACGTTGGGAATAGGCCGGGGCTGCGGGGGGGAATAGGGGGCAGTGGCACTCACCAAACCAGGCCTGCTGATCCCCCTGCACCTCAATGGCGAGGCCAAAGTCTGCCAGCTTCACCGCCGCCCCTTTGCACTTGCTGGCCAGGAGCAGGTTCTCCGGCTGTGTGGGCACCAGGCACAGGCAGCACCAGGCACAGGCACGGGTGGGGAGGGAGAGGAGGGACGGGAGAAGCAGAAGGGCTTTGCAGCTGCCATTGAACATGTCCTGCCCGTTTGCCAGCTGTGTGCTGTGTGCCTGCAGGTACCCTCCACCACTGGCCCAGGGTGCCGGCTGGCACAGCCCCACGGCCAGCTCAGGGTCACCCCATGTCCCCCTTGCCTCATCTCAGTATCCTCATGTATCCCACCCCTCCATCCCTCCATATCCCACCATCCTCTAGCATCCCACCATCCCAACCCTGGTATCCCACCCACCATCCCGTGTCCTGTCCTGACCTCACCCCTACCCCCAGCCAGCTCACTCCCCCCACCAAGGCCATAACAAGCAGGGGGCTCACAGGGAGCCCCCCAGCAGTGCAGGACTGTGCCATGACTGAGGGGGCCATGTACACCCCCAGAAAAGGGAGATGGCAGCTGGGGGTGCTCAGAGCAGGGGGGATCCTCCAACCCCAGCGGGATCTCAGTGACCCCCAGGACCCACTGAGCCAGGGCCCACCCCATGCTGTGGGGACCCTGAGAGCTGGGCTGGGGGAGAGGGGCAGAGGGACAGATGGGGATCTGGGGGGACACACTTACCTTGAGGTCCCTGTGGACCACCCCCATCTGGTGACAGTGCAGGACAGCCTCCAGGATCTGCTGGATGCAGTGGCTGCATGCAAACGGGGGGGGTCAGGGGTGTGCTGCTCCCTCATCTCCCACACCCCCTGCCTGGGACCTGCACCCCCAAAGTGGCCCCCTGCCCCACTGCTGGGGTCCCCCTGCACCCCAGGGGGAGCTGATGGAAACAAGTGGTAACTTTAGATTGGGGGGTGCAAAATGCACCCCCCGTACCCCTGCCAGGGGCTCACTCCTGGGGGGAGGGTCACTCCTGGGGGATCACTGCCTGGAGGAGTCACCAGGAGGGGTTTCACTTCAGGGGGTCATTGAGCTGGGGTGGGTCACTGTTCGGGGGTCATTCCATGGGAGTCACCCCTGGGGGGGTTACTGCTTGGGGGGTCACCCCAGAGTTATCACCCCTGCAGAATCACTCCTGGGGGCATCACTGCCTGGGTGGGTCACTGCCTGGGGATCATCAGTGGCTGGGGGTTCATCTCTCAGGGGAAGTCACTGTCCAGGGGTCACCTCTCAGTGCCCACCAGGTGAGCTCCTATCTTGGCACAGAGCCACGGGGAGTCACCCCAGTGGTGCTTTTGTGTCCCACCCCTGCCTCCCATGGGGGCCTCCCCATCCCTGCTGCCACCCGGACGCCAGGGTCCCCCAGACAGGACTCACGGGGGAGGGACAGGGGGTATGGGGGGGGCAGATGGAGACGAGACAAGAAAGAAAGAGGGAAGGAGCGGGGAATGAGAGCCTGAAATGGGGGTGAAGGGGAGGGGTCCCACCCAGCTGGGGGAGCAAGGTCATTGGGGGGCAACCTCCCTGAGAGGGGGGGATAAAAAAGGGGGTGGGGAGAAAAAGAGTGAGGAGAGAGCCCCACAGCTGGGTCCTTGCGAGCGGAGCAGGGGCTGGGAAGCGGGGGCTGCGGCGGGCGGGGGCAGCGCAGGGGCACGGCCTCCGGCCCCCAGATACTGACCTGCGGCTCCCTCTGCTCAGGGGCAAAGTGATGGGTGGGAGGAACGCGGGCAAAGAGCTCATGGACACAGTGACTGCAAAACAGAACGGGGGCGGGGCAGGGGCGGGGAGGGGCAGGATGGAGGGTTAGGGTTGGGAGAGGGGGCAGGATGGGGGCAGGATGGGGCAAAGAGGGTGGGAGGTGGGCAGGATGGGGGCGTGGGGGTCGGGATGGGGCGGCAGGATGGAGAGGCAGAGGGTTGGGAGGACAGGATGGGGGTTGGGGGTGGGAGTGGGAGAGGCAGGGGGCAGGAGGCAGATTGTGGGTAAAGGTGTGGGAGGGGGTGGTAGGATGAGGATAAAGGGAGGGCAAGATGGGGCAAAGGGATCAGGGGGTGCAGGATGGAGGGGTAAAGGTTGGGAGAAGGGGCAGTAGGGGGGGGTCAGGATGAGGTAAAGGGGGTAGGAGGCAAGAAGGAAAGTCAGGGGGTGGGAGCAAGTTGTGGGTAAAGGGGTGGGAGAGGAGGGCAGGAGAGGGGGATGGGAGGAAAACAAGGGCAGTTTGGGTGGCAGGGGAGTTGTAGGAGGCAAAACAGAGGGCAGGGGGTGCCGTGTGGGGAGCAGCGAGCAGAGGGCAGCGGTGGGAAGGACAAATGGACACACGGATGGACACACGGACACGCACAGAGCCCGAGCGACATGTGATGGGAGACGGAAGGGACAGAGGGATGAGGGGATGGATGGAGGAGGTGGGGGCACAAGGTGGGACGGGGGTGGGGGTCGGAGATGGGGGGAACGAGAGAGGGGGAGAAACAATGTTGTGAAAGCCCAGAGACCACGGGGATAGGCACACGGTGGCACACAGGGCACTGGGGGCTGGGGACGGCACCAGGGGGCCCTGGGGGCCCCCACCCGCCACCAGCCCCCCCAGCACAGGTCATGACAGTGCCAGGCCTCAGCGGCGGAGGGGAGAGCAGTGGGGGGGGAGTGGGACAGGGGGGAGCCCCACCCAGCAGCAGGACAGAGCCGGTGGAGTCATTACAATAGTGGGAAGGTGGGGGGGGCATGCCCCCTCCCACTGGGTGTCCCCTGCCTGCCTTGCTGGAGCTGCCCCATCCCTGAGCCTCCCGGGGTGGGGGCACTGGAGGGCTGTGGGGGTGTCCGGGGGTCGGGAGGGGTGAGGGGCTCACCTGGCATCGGCCTCGCTGTAGTACTCCCTCGCCACAATGTCCTCAAAGAGCTCACCACCTGTCACCCTGAAACACAGCCAGGCACCGTGTCACCACAGGACTCCGGGGACACCCCAGGACTCCCGGGACCCCCCAGCCACACTCACAGGTCAAAGACGAGGTAATGGAAACCCTCCTCAGAGATACTGTCGTGGAGCCGCACTGTGGGGACCAGACGGGGACAGGGACAGGCTCAGTCTCAGTTCCCAAAGCCATCCCCAGCCTCCCTCCAAAACACTGTGAGTGGCACACACGTGTCAGTGTCACACGCAGCCCACACACCCACACCCAGAGTGTTCCAGCAGTGGCACCAGCACAACCTCAGGGGTGAGACCCCACATGTCCCCAGGGGGACACCCAGCGTGTGTCCCCGGTGTGTCATTGAGGGTGTCCCTGAGTGGCAACCCACAGGACTCCACATGTTCCCAGGGTGGCACAACCCCGTGGTGGCACCCAGCATGTCCCTGGATGGTCCCCAGCACCCTGGGTGTCCCCAGGTGTCCCCAGGTTACTCACCGATGTTGGAGTGCTTGAGCAGCCGGCAGATGCGTGCCTCACGCTCCAGCTTCTGGTGGTCTGGGGGGGGCAGGGGTCAGGGGGCACCTGCCCTGCCCCCAGCACCCCCTGCCCCAGGCACCTGTCCCCGGCCCGGCCTCAGGGAGAGGAGCCACAGGTGTCGCCGTGGGAGTGCACGTGGCTCTGTGCGTGTGTGCAGGTGTGCACAGGGGCCAGGGGTGTGAGTGTGCACCTGTGGGCGTGTGCATGTGTGCCTGGGTGTGCACGTGTGGAAGTATGTGCAGGTGTGCCCATGTGTACATGGGCACGCACACGCGTGTGCAGGTGAGCACGGCACGCACAGGTGTGTGTGTGTGTATGTTTATGCAGCTGTCCTCGTGTGTGTGTGTGTGTGAACGCAGGTACACACGTGTGGATGAGAGTGCACACGTGGGCAAGCCCCTGTGGCTGTATGTGTGTGGGGGTGTGCAGGTGTGTGGCAGACATAGGTGTGACAGGTGTGCAGGTGTGTGGGGGTGCCTGTGTCCAGGTGGGGGTAGCACCTGCAGCTGTGCACACGTGTGGGTGTGCCTGTGTGTGTCTGTGTTCCCGTGTGTGCCCACGTGTGCAGTTGTACAGCCGTGCGGTCGCACCTGCGTGCACAGGTGTACACGTGCGTGTGGCTGCACCCACGTGCATCGCTGCGCCTTGGTCTGTGGGTGTGTACTGGGCTGTGCAGCTGTATCCACGTGTGTGGAGGTACCTGTGTGTGCAACTGAACATCCATGCAGCTGTGCCTCTGTGTGACTGCACACGTGTGTGACTGCACTGGCCACTGTTTGAGCGCACACCTGTACCTGTGTGTGCAGCTGCACCTCTGGGTGTGTCTGTACACGAGGGAACACAGATACATGGACAGGTGTGTGCACCTGCTCACCCCCCCCTGCACACATGTGTGTGAACACACACGGTTCACACAGTCCACACACACACTGTGGGCACTGCCCTGCACTCACTGCTCACACCTGTGCACCCAGCCCTGGCCACAGACACACACACAGAGCACACACACGCACCCCCTGTGCCACTGGACGCTGCCTCTCACCCAGGTGCACCCCCCAAACACCTACACCCCTGCACACTGTCACACATCCCACACCTGCACATCCCCCACTGAGCTGTGTGCACACCCCACCACACCCAACAGGCACCTGCCCTGCTCAGAGGTGTACAACACACATGTGCCCACCCCTGTGCGTACACATCCCCCACACACCCCCTGCAGCCCCACTGACACACTACCCGCTCACACATGGGTGCACACCAAGGACACACCTCTACACACACACACAGGCACCCCCTGCTCACAGGTGTGCACACACACGTGTGTACACATAGTCCATGAACACACAAACCTGTACATGGGCACACACTGTGAACACAGCCCTGTGCACACACACTCAGATACCCTCCACTGCTCCCATGTGCACACACCCACCATCACACACACACCTGTGCACACACATCACGCACACCTGTGTGCACAGAGCTCACACCTCTGCACACACACACCTGTACAAACACACCCACACCCCTGTACACACACATGCACAGAGCTCACACCTGTGCACATGCACACGCACACACAGAGCTCACACCTGTGCACACACACACCCACCCCCACCCCTGTACACACACATACACCCCTGACACACCCACACCTCTACACACACACACACACACACACACACACACACACACGCTGTCTGCTCACACCTGCATACCCCAGGATATCCCTCAGGGACAGCCCAGGCTCTGAGGGGCCCCAGGGGATGCAGTAGGGGGATAATGGGGATGGGCAGGATCAGACCCCACTCCCTGGAGCACCCCCTCCTCACTGGTACCCGGTGCCACCAGCACCACTGGGGTCACAGCTGTCACAGGTGTCATGGGCATCAGGGGTATCTCAGGTACCAGGAGCATCTCCATAGATATGTGTGGCTGGGCTGGGGGCGGCCCAGGGGTACCCCCAGGTGCTGGGAGGGTCTTGGGTGTTCTGGGGTTTCTGGGGGACCTACCTCTGGCTGAGAGCTTTTTGGTGTTGATGATCTTGGCGGCGTACTCATGGCCAGTGCAGAGCTTGACGCAGCGCCGGACCACCGAAAAAGCCCCCCTGGGGAGGGACAGGCTCAGTGCCCCCCAAAGCACCGTAGGGGGTGGGCAGGGGTGGCTCCCACCTGTGACTCAGCACCCAAGGCCAGGGGCTGCACCCGTCGTGACTCAGCACCCGGGGGGTGAACCCCGACACAGGGGAGGGGGCCCTGACACCACTGGGCCCCCCCATGGGCGCGCTGAGGGGGGGCTGGGGGAGGCTGGGGGGGTGAGGCTGAAGGGGGCTCAGTGAGGGTCGGGGGGTGGCATCGTGGAGGGGGTCGCGGGAAGGATCCAGCACTGGCAGCTCGTTGCCATGGGGACAGCGGATGGCCCGGATGGCAGCAGTGGCTGTGGTGGTGGCGGCAGGGGATGGGGATGGGGATGGTGGTGGCGGTGGGCACAGGACCCAGCTGTGGGTAAGGGGAGCTAGCAGACACCAACACCCCCGGGGACAGGGATGGGGACGGGGACACAGACTGGGAGGGGAACAGCGTGGCCGTGCCCACACCAGGCAGCGGCATCCACAGTCCCTGCAACAGCACCTCTCCCCCTCCCAGGACCCATGTCCCTGCCTGTCCCCTGCCTGTCCCCTGCCTGACAGGGTCCTCTCCCCCGGGGGGTTAAGGGCAGCGTCGGGGTCCACAGGGGGATCCCCACACCAGGCTGGGGACACAGCTGAGCACAGCAGCGCCCTGACCCTGCCATGGAAAGGGTCCTGTGGGGAACACGCGTGCCCTGGGAAGGGGGGAGGGCCTGGCCATCCCCTGCCACTGCCCCATGTCCCCATGCCGAGGGTCCCGTGCTGGCATGGACAGTGGGGACCCTCTCACCACTGGAGGAAAAGGGGGGATCATCAGGGCCTGGCATCCCTGTCTCCCTGTCCCCTCTCCATGTGGCCCCCAGGACAGGGGACATGGTGGGTGCCAACCCCTGGGGTGCCTCAGTTTTCCCCCCGACCAGAGCAATGTCCCCCCAGTCCTGGAGGGGGGGGGACACATGCGCGGTGGCTGGCGGGTGACACTGAGAGATGGGAGGGGGGGAACAGGACTGTATTTCCATGGCAACCAGGACGGGCTGGATTTTGGGCAGAGCGAGGGAACAGCCCCCGATGGCACCATGTTCCCACCCTGGGAACCCCCAAAGGGACCACAGCCACCTCTGCAAAATGTTCCCCCTATATGGGGGCAGGGGGATGCACCCCTCAGAGAGATTTGACCCTCCCCCGCCCTGTTTTACCCCCCCTCAAGCCCCTGCCCATAGATCGGGGGGAAATCTGCATCCCCCATGGCCCTGGGGACAAACAAGCCCCCCCCCTCCCAAATCAGCTCCTCTTCAGCTCCCCACAACACCCACCAAAGGGGGGGTCATGATGCTGGGGGGGGGCAAAGGGGGTTGGAAAGATCCAAAGGGACAGAGGGGGCCTGGGAGTCTTTAAGGCCCAGGGGGGCCAGGAGGGCTGGAGTCTGTAAGGACCCAGAGAGGGAGCAGATTTGGGGAGTTATATAAGGCCCAAAGGGATCTGGTCTAATGGGGGCTGGGGAAGGAGGACGGTCTGTAAGGACCAGAGGGGAGAGGGATGGGGGTCAATGGAGATGGAGGGTCTATGGAGATGGGGGGGTGGAGCAATGGGGACATCCCTGGGGTTGGGGGGCAAGGGGGTCCTGAAGGAGGGGGTGCCTCTAAAGTCTCAAGGATGGTCTGGAGAACAAGAGGTGTCTATAGGGAACAGGGGGGCTGTGAGAATCAGGGAGCGGGGTGTCTGCTGGGGGAGTCCAGAGGGTTTGGGAGGGCTGCAAGGACCACGGGGGCTATAAGGGCTGGGGGGGAATGGGGTTTGGTAGGGGCTTTGAGGGAGTCTGGGGAGATGGGGTCTATAAGAACCAGGGGATATGGAGTCATGGAGGGTCCATAAAGACTGGGGGGGGGGAATATGTGGGGATGCGCCAGGGTTGGGGAGGATGGTGGGTCTAGAGGAGCAAGGCGGGGCTCTAAGGACTGGAGGGTCTGTAGGAGCCAGGGGCAGAACTGGGAGTGCCAGGGGATCTGTGAGGATTGAGGGGGTTAAGGGGCGATGCAGGGAGGGGGGTCTGTAAGGATGGAGGGTCTGTAGGGTCAAGGGCTATAAGGACTGGGGAGTTTAGGGGGGGTGTAGGGACAGATGACTGAGGACTGGGGGGATCGGGAGGGATTGGAGGGGGTCTGGGGTGAGCAAATGAGGACAGATCAAGGGAGTCTTGTAAGGATGGGGGTCCATAAGGATGGGGGCATCCTTGGGGAATAAGGGGTTGCAGGGACTGGGGGGCACTATGGGGACGCGGGGACCCAGAGGAGCTGAGGGGTCCGGGCCGCTGGGGGCTGTTAAGGCCCTCGGAGGGGGCGGTATAAGGGGGCCGGGGGAGGCAGGGCCAATACCGGGGGAGGGCAGTATGGGGTGGGGGGTGGCTGGGCAGGGCCGGTCCCGGGGGGGGGGGCCGGTCCCGGGGGGCGGGGCCGGTCCTGGGTGTCCCATCCCGGCGGGGGAAGAGGAGGGGATGCGTCACGTCTGCACCGAGCGGCGTCCCGAGCCCCGGGCAGCGCCCCCCGCCCCCGCCGCTTCCCGGGGCCGGGACCGGGGCCGGGGCCGCCGCCCTTACTTGCCGATCTCCTCGTAGAGCTGGTACTCGTCGGTGAAGCGGGTGCAGGGCACGGTGGTGGCCATGCTGCCGCCGCGCCGCGCCGCAATGAGCCGCCCCGGCACCGGCTCCGCTCGGCTCCGGCTCCGCCCGGCGCGGGGGGGCGGGGGGAGGCGCCGGGCCGGGGGAGGCTCCAGCCCGGGACAGCCCCGCCGCCCCCTCGCTTGGGATCCCCAACCCCTCCCCGGGGCACCCCCGCCTCGGACCTGCTCCCCGCACGCCGGGGAACCCCTTGTCTTCACAAGGGCCCCATAACCAGAACATCCCCTGCCGGGACCCCTTCATTCCAAGTCACCCCTAGGAGTGGAGGACCCAGCCCCTCCCCGAAAGGCCCCATATTCAGACGCCCATCCCCGGGATTCCCCCAAATAGCCCTATATCCAAACCCCATCCCACGGATTTCCCCCCGACTCCAAATTCACCCTCCCCCAAAAGGCACTACACCCAGACCCCTCCCAAGAATCTCACCCCCCCCACCAAAGGATTCCACATTCTCCCCCTAAAAGACCCCAGTATCCAGACAAGCCCCTCGAGTACCCTATATCCACACCCTGCTTTCCACCTCCCCGGGGACAACCCCCCATTCTCCCCAATACCGAGGCTTCCCCTCCCGCATCAGTGTTACCCCAAATAACCCCTCCAGGTTCCAACCCCTCCCCTCCTTAAGCAAAACATCCGGGAGGGGCCTGGGGGGGGGGCCAAAAACACCCCCCCCCTCACCTTCCCCAAGGGCACCTTGAAGCCCCCCAGTGCCAGCGGCACGATGCGGGGCGGATTTTGGTACGGGGGTCACGCACAAACAGGCCTGGACACCACCAGCAGTGCCAGAGCCCGGGGTGTCCCCCCTCGGCCGGTGGGGTGGGCGCGGGTGGGTGGGCGCGGCCCCCCCGTGGCGGGTGGGCGGCGGGCGGCTGGCGCTGCCGTTGCCATGGGGACCGTGGGCGGCCGGGGGGCCGCGGGCCCGGTGAGCGCATCAGCACCGGGAGATGCCGGCACCGGCGGGGGGGATCCGGGGGCAGCACCCCCAGCGCTGGGTGCCCACCACATCAAACCTAGCCAGCCTGCGGGGATCCCAGATCCACGCCCCCGCACCGAGGACCTCGAAATCCAGCCCCGCCCCTGGATCCCATATTCCAAAACCCCCACGCCCAAGGAACCCCCAAATCCAGCCCCCCTCGGGGTATCCTATATCCACCCCCTCCCGGGGATCACAAAATCCACTCCTTGCCCCACAGGAATCCCATATCCAGCCCCCCAAGAACTCCAACATCTTCCACATGCCCGGGGCCGATGCTGGCAGACAGACATCCCAGGCATCCTCCTCGGGTGTCCCCGAGCCTCCCCCATAAGCGAGGGGCTGGGGCGGCGATCAGGCACACTCGTCCCCCAGGGATGGTACCGAATCACTCGCAGGCCCCCCGTGAGAAACGTGTTTATTGCAAACTGGGGGTGGGGTGAATGGAGGGACAAGGCGACGACCGGGGACCCCTGGCCTACCTATCCCAGGGTGGGAGGGGCAGTGGGAAGCTGCAAGAGCCAGGCTGGGCCTGGGGGGGCCAGGGCTGTCACAGCCCCCCCTCTCAGACCCCAAAGTTCCGTGCCAGGGAAGCCCATGTTTCTGGGGCTCCTGCCCACTGGCTGGAGGGGTGGGCTGCTGGCTACAAGGGGAGTGGGTCTGTAGCCACCCCCAAACTCCAGTGCTGTGAGGGACGCCCGCACTGCTCCCTGGTGACCCCTGGGGAAGGGGAAGCAAACCCTGTGGTCTGGCTGGGGTCTCTGTCCAGCCCAGGGTGCCCTGATCACCCTCCAGTGATGGGGTGGGAAACCACGAGGAAGCCTCCCATGGGGCTGAGCAGGCGGCAAGGGCAGCACAGTCACCATGGGAGACCCCCAGCGCGGGATTGGCAAGGGAATTTGGGGGTGCCAGGTGGGCGGGGTGCAGGCAGAGTGCAGGCAGGGTGCAAGGCAGGGGCAGGCTCCCCCATGTGTCCCCTCATCCCTGCTGCCCGTACCCAGCACCCAGCTCTGCCCACGAGGGGCAAAGCTGCCCACAGTCAGGGCAGGGAGGGCTCCACACCCCCAGAAAACCCAAAAGCAGCATCCTCATCCACCAAAAATAATAATTATGTCACCCAACATGCTCCGTCTATTCCGGAAAAACACAGAGCGTCGGCAGCGCGAGGCAAGGGGAGGCAGGGGAGGAGAGGGGTCTCGGCGCCCGGGTTGCCGTGGTGACAGGATGTAAATCTGCCCGCCTGGCCTCCCCGCACGGCACGGATGGGTGCTGGCAGCGTGGAGCAGCGGGTCACTGGCACCGGCACGACACAGAGTGCAAGGGTCCCAGTGGGCATCCGGGGGGTTTCTCCTCTCCCTGCTTCGTTTTTCAGTTGTTTTTGCCGCCGTCAAAACTGGACAGCGCCAGGGGAGATGTTGAACATGGAGGGGTCGAACTTCTGGCCACGGAACGGGGAGCCCTCGGTGTCCCAGCCCTTCTTTAGCATCTCGTGCACCTTCTGCAAAGAGGTCACAGGATCTCTTCAGCCCGGGGTGACCCCACGCTGTCCCCCACACCCCTTGCCTGCCCCTTGTCCCCCAGGTGTCAGGGCTGCATGGCCACCCGACCAAGGGAAGGGGACGTGGTGGACACCGGCAGCCCCCCCTCCACCCCGGCTGCTAGCAGCCACTGCCAAGGGCACACACCACCCCTGCTTCTCCTCACTGCCCAGGGAAGGGCAGATGGCACCCAGGGCAGCACCAGGCAGCTCCTGGGTCTGGCTGAGCCCAGACCTATGCAGGTCCATCCCAGAGCAGGGCCAGCTCTGGGGAGAGGCACACAGATGTGGGGCCCAGCCACAGTGCAGGCTTATGGGCATTTGCCAAGATGCCAGGAATGGGAAGACAAGAGTGAGTGGCAAAAGATGGACCAGCTGAACCTCAGGCCCCCACAAGGTTGATGTGGGGGGACAGTGAGCGAGGAGGAGCTCTGAGATGGAGCAGAGCTGTGGGGCTGCCACATGCTGCACCCTTTTCCTGGGAATGGGACCCTTGGAGAGCTAGTGAGAGGGCCAGGCTGGGCTGATGGCACAGGCTGGCTGGCACCTACCAGCTCGTGGCTCTGGGGCTTGCCCTGCAGCTTCTGGTGGTAGTCAAAGGTGAGGCGGTCGAGCACAGCATGCTCCTCCTCATCCACTGTGGCCATGGAGCGCTCTTTGTTGATCTTGTCAATGTCGATCTGCTCCTCGCCCTCCAGGATAGCATTCCACCAGTACTCGTCCCCCTTGTTCAGGTTGATCTAGGGACAAGGTGTGGGTCAGGGAGTAGGGAGAGGAGCCCCCATCCCGTCTGGGACATGGTACCGTGGCCCACCCCACAGCTCCAAGGCAGTGGTGCAAAGCTTGGCCGTGCTGGCAGCAGCATGGGGCTTGCCCAGGAGTAGAGGTCCAGCTCACACCGATCCAGCCCCATGGCTGGCAGACGGGGAGGGACGCTTGTGCCTCCTTCCCTCAGCAGTCCAAGGGTTTTGCACAACCCCGCCATAGCCTCCTGCAGCCCCAGCTCAGACCCAGGGCTGAAATTCTGTCTTACACCGTGGCTCAAGGCCAAGACCAGTGTCCCTCAGGGGTGTTCCACCCACAGGTGACACCAGCCTGGGGCCGCATGGCTAACTCAGCAGCAGCAATAGAGTCCAGGACTGTCGGACAAGGAGACTGTGTCTGGTGGAGCGTGGGGCTGGGGCTGCTGGCATGGCCTTTCTCTAACCCAGAAGGAGCCCTGGTCTCAGTTCTCCTGGCACTGGCTCTGTGGGTGGCAGCGTGGGTGGCAAAGGAGGTGACAATGTGCTACCTCAGCTCACTGCCAGCACCTGCTTCCCATGGCACCCTGGCTCAGCAGCAGCCCGAGGGATGGATGAGGATGCTCCAGACAATATCCTCGCCGGGAAAAGCCGTTGGCGGTAGCCACGGGCATCCCCGGTGCAGCGCCCTGCACGGAGCCGGCTGGCTGGAGGGGCTGTGCCAGGGCAACGTGGGGCATCTCGCACCAGGAACTCGGACTTGCTTTTTGTTTTTCCAGGAAGAGTGGGCTGCTTCCTTCCATGTTATTTTAGCACTAATCCCAGCAGCAGGGCAGATTTATGACATTCATTGGGCTCTGCAAAATCATCAATAAAGGCAGACAATACAATTTGCTCAAAATTCCCTGGAAGCTCAACGGCTCCGGAGGGGAGAACACAGGCAGCCATTCCCGTTACAAAGCCAGGCGTCTCTGCAGTGTGAAGAAAAGGAACCAATTAATACAGGAGGGGGTGGCTGGGGTTTAATCCTTCTGGGAGAGCAGAGCCGGTAAAATATTCCAGCTTGGGGAAGGCGTTAGTTTTTCCAGCTAGACAGGCATGCTTGTTCTCCTTTTAATTGCACAGTTCCACTTTGGAGGGAAGGGAGAGCTGCTAAGGGTTTGCTCCTGGGCTTCCCAACCCTGGGTGGGCAGGCAGGGGAATGGCAGGAGCCCCCAGAACATCACCCCTCAGCCAGCAAGCCAAGCAGAAGGGCAGCAGCCCAGGCCAGCCCATGCCTGCAGCAGGAGCATCCTCTAGGCTCCTCAGGGTTTGGAACATGAAAAATGTCCCCACAGTGCTGGTGGGGTGTGAGCTTCCCTGGTGATGGCTCCCCACAAGCCGTGCTCCCACAGCATCGCTGGAGGGTATGCATGGCTTGTACGTCCCTACCAGAGGCAGCCTGATAGCAGAGGAACAGACAGGTGCTGCAGGAGGTCAGGCATCACCCCATCTCCATACCAGAGTACTGGGGAATGGAAAACTCACCCCAGAGCACCTGGGGATGGAAACTCATCCCCCCTCCCTTCCCTACCAAACCTGTTCCTCTGCTGGTGCCCTGCCACCACCCACACACCTCTGCAGCCTGCCTGGGGGATTTGCTCACCCCTCTTTATTCCAGGGCAAGAGCTGTCAAAGTGGGACTCACTCCAAGGTGGGAGCCCCACTTTCTGGTGTGAAATGCCCATGGTCCAGGGCAAAGGTCGCTCTGTCCCTGTGAGTTTGGAGTTCCATGCTTAGAGGAAGTGCTGGAGCACTCACCGTGGACAGATCTCACCTC